CTTGCTCCGTTTTGTCTAAAGTAGGGTCAGGGAATCAGACTGCAAGAACAGATTTTTTCCCCCCTGGTTTTTCCAACATCTATGAACACAAACCTTTAAACAGGTCAGTGTAACAATATTTGCTATAAAATATTAACCCCAAAATCCATCCATTTCTGAAAATTACAGCAAAAACAAATTTATGTTGTACATACATGTACAGGTATGTATACAATGTATGCATATTACCATTAAGAATTACAACGCAAGTGTACATGTACCGTATACGGTACATGTACATGTACATGTATGCAACCACTATCACAATTTCGACAAGTATGGATGATGCTTTGTATCAGTGGTAACTACATGTATGTTTCCATGGTGATATGTGTCTTCAGCATTACCTCATACCCCTCATCCACCCCTCCCTCCAATCCATAAAAAAGGAGTCAGGCCAAAAAAATGATATCATTTCTTCCTGGGGAGGGAAAAATGTAGGTTACAAGTTATCAATCACTAGACAGATGCTCATAGTCAAACTGTACAAAATTATGTTTTTTCAATTATTTTGTTTCACACAAAAAAACTCCATCATGTAAACGCACTGCTCATTTCAATTTTACACATTGACATGTGCCTACACATAACATACATTGTTGCATGAAAGGGTAGATACAATGGTACTTTTTATGCACAAAACATATTCCTATGGCACTTTAAAATTTGCAAAACTACCATTAACAATTCAACCCAAATCTATGTACTGGGTACCAGTAAATTTATGCACGTGTCCATGAATTCAGATTTGGATTTGTAGTGGTACCACAGTAAAAAAAACCAACAGTTTCTCGGGTTCTATAGGCCCCTAAGTGCAACCATTTGAAGATGGTTTTTCGGAAAAAAGCAAGACAGCTAGAGTCAGAAAAACACGTAGAGACAATTGCAACCTCGACCCCAGGGTGTCAAGCAGTACGCGCCCATCACTACCTGCTCTCTCACCCTGGTATTGGATCATTTGCATGTAAAGATTTTTGAACACGTATGCAAATGAGGAATAGTCTGGTGCCTGCTTGTGCGTCACATTTGCGTTTGTTTTTGTATGTGGTGTCTGGGGTAAAAGCAGAGTCAATTCGTCGCAGCGCGAGCATGGCGCGAGTTACGAAAAACACGATTTATTTAATTAAATTGTTACGATCTTACCGAGACAACATGTAGTATCACATTTCATATTAATATGAACAAATTGGGAAGGAAATGAGTATTTTCGAGAAGGCGTGGACGAATAATCGCGAAAACACGTACTGCACGTTGTGAATAACAACACCAAGTACACGACAAAAATCCATTACTAGCCAATTGCCGTATCGAATCAGGATGCAGGAAGAAAGTTTCCTATCCAGGGTTTACTATTGGAAACTAGGTTGGAAATAAAGTAAGCACTGGGGACGAGGTTGAGACAATTACAGTTGTTATGCCCCCAACTATGGCATCATCCCAACTACAGTTAGGATCGTCCCAACTATAGTTAGGAATTCACCTACTATTGTTGGGACTGTCCCAACTATAGTTGGGACTGTCCCATCTATAATTGGGACATTGCCATAGTTGGGGTGTAACATTAATTATTATGCATACTGAATGTGTTGTGGACTTTACATCAAAATAAGCTCCATGCATAAAGTTGCGACAGCTGGTAAAACTCAATTCAGAATCTCCGCCCTTCATTAACTTGGAAGTGAATTGTGAAACCTTTCACATTTAATTATGTGTACATATCGCTCTGGGGTTGTTCTGCAGAACATATCATTATCAAGGGTTAAATCAAATCACAAATGTTATTGATAACATCCGTGTTCATTTTGGATGTGACACAAGAATGCATGATGCAAAGTCGATGCATGAATTGTACTTGTACAATTCAATTTCATGGCAGTGTTAATGTTGTGTGCTGAAAACAAAATTTTGCATTAATTAGGCCAAAAAAAAAAATAAGTCGGTCTCTGGTCAGCGCGCGCGTCGATTTTAATCATGCGCATTGATCTTTTTTTCCCCAAAATGTTCCGCGGTAGCTCCAACAGCGCCCTCTATTTCCGCACCTCCTCAATTTTTTTACCAAAGAGCACCAAGGAATGGGAAATTGCACCAAGGCAAATGATCGAAAGCACCAAGGCAAATTATGGAGGACACCAATGTACATGTACATGAGGACACCAAAAAAACAAAATAGTACCCCACCTTGTCTGTACAATCCAAGCTTGAAGAAAAAAAAAAAAAGCAAAAAAAAAAAAAAATGTCGCGTGGCCGCGTCAATTCCGGAACTTTGGTCTGACCAAAGATCGAATATTTTTTTTTTGGCCTTATAAAGGCATTCAAAAGATTTTTTGACATTGTCTTGGTGTGTAAACCGAGGGCACTTCTTAGAAAATACCACCATGTACTGTAGCATTGACACATCAATTAACAGCATGACAGTACTGAGTTGTGTGAAAGCATTGAGTACCAGGTTCCATGTCAATCATATTTTGCTCACTGATACCCATCAATTTAAAACAATAGCAAATCATGCAAATTATAGAAGGTGTTAGGCCTATATGTCCCAACAAGCAAATAACATACAAATATTGAGTGGCTCAGAGTGGAATGGGAGGAATATTATCGCAAGGTAAAATCTGGACTTTTCTATTTCATGAGGCGAAGCTGAGTAAAATGGAAAAGTCCAGATTTTACCGAGCGATAATATTCCTCCCATTTCACAATTTAAAGCCACTCAATATTTGTTTTATTATATAACTGACATCTATTATCCTTGTCATTTGATTTGCAGTTAAAATGTACCGCTATTTCAATACAAAATTGGTGGGAAATGTAGTTCTCTCTTCCAAACCACCCCTTCACAAAATGTTTGAACCCAACTCTGTAGCTACTGGCTCTTGGGAACAATACGCGCTACGCTCAACGCGCACACCAGCATGCATTTGCACACAAATACCGTGCCTTGGAACAACGATAATCCTAACTTGGAAGTCCCAACTATAGTTGGGATGATGCTAGTCCGAGTAACTTGGACCCAACTTATCGCCTTTTTTAACATTTGGACATGGTCTGGCGATAGTAAGGTCCAAGCTAATACCGCGACCTAGACAACACAGTCCCAAAAACCAACATTTTCCAACAAAAAACATCAGATTTCACCTTCAAAACGGCCTCCAAATTACTAGATATGCCACCTGATGTACAAGTAGACATCGATAATTAAGATGGTTGTACTGAAGTTTACTTACGATCCGGAAAAAAGTGAAATTTTCCATTCATTTCGGAGAGCTCCCCTCGCGATCTTGAACACGTTAAATTTCCGATCGTGTTTAATGTTTGAACGACGCGATTTCTTCTACATGCCCAGCGTACATTTGATGGTCCCCGTATCCCGTGTGCGATTCCGTTACCGAGCGCGCGCGATGCATCGATTATGATAATGATCACGTTTGTAAACACATACATGTGCATTTCGAACTGTAAAAGGGAATCGGGAACCAGCTTGAACTGGTACCCGCCATAAAAGCTGCGCTAGTTCCCGACTCCCTATTATCGTTTGAAATGCACATGTGTTTACAAACGTGATCCAGTCTACTCATTATCATAATCGATGCATTGCGCGCGCTCGGTAACGGAATCGCACTCGGGATACGGGGACCATCGAATGTACGCTGGGCATGTAGAAGAAATCGCGTCGTTCAAACATTAAATACGATCGGAAATTTAACGTGTTCAAGATCGCGAGGGGAGCTCTCCGAAATGAACGGAAAATTTCACTTTTTTCCGGATCGTAAGTAAACTTCAGTACAACCATCTTAATTATCGATGTCTACTTGTACCTCAGGTGGCATATCTAGTAATTTGGAGGCCGTTTTGAAGGTGAAATCTGATGTTTTTTGTTGGAAAATGTTGGTTTTTGGGACTGTGTTGTCTAGGTCGCGGTATTAGCTTGGACCTTACTATCGCCAGACCATGTCAAAATGTTAAAAAAGGCGATAAGTTGGGTCCAAGTTACTCGGACTAGGATGATGCTATCGTCAGGGAGTAACATTGATGAATGAAGGAAAATTAATTTTAAATTAAAGTTTGCAATTGACTTTTTGTAATTAAAATACATCATGCATGTGGTGACTGCCTGGCTTCCTTCGACGTTTTTCTCGTCTTTATAACGCCCTTATATTAAGGCCAAGTAAAACACATACTTGTATAGTTTCTCGTCCGGCCTTTTTTTTTTTAAATGAAGGAGGCGGGAGCTTTTTCTTCTTTCCAAGATATGGGAATTTTCTTCAATGAGGGAATGGAATCTTCAATTTCATTGACTATTTTGCTGACACTATTGTTTCGAAACGACTTTCTACATACCTAGCTACCATTGTGTTGGAAGCAAAATAGGCCTGGTTTGCAAATTATTGACAATATTTTGCACAATATATTGCAAATATTTGAATTAAAAAAAAAAAAAAGCGGGGATGAGAAATTGCTTTATTTTTTTACTTGGCCTGATTATTTTTTACATCTAACATTAGCCATCCATGCATCCCCTGCAATTTTATACAAACTCAACACTTCACAGATCACAGCACTTAGTTGCAGAGTTACTGGTTAGTGGTTAGCCTACCATGCCAACACTCGCAACAGGTACGTACATACAACTCTCTCTCACATTTGGGGAAATGCCCAGTCCTAAAAACAAAATATTTTTGTAATTAATGCAATTTGTAGGCTGTCAGGCATTTTGTCTGAAGTTTCGTCCTCAAACGAAAGATGCACAGCACTCTTCATGCTCTTTCAGTTTCATGATGTTCATCATGATCTTCTATATTTTTTTCCATCACTGCTCATTTTTTTTATGTTAACTTAAATTTACAAACATGTAAATGTCTCATCTTCTCACGCTCACAATCTTTCATAAAATTCCACTTGACATGCTTGAGAAATAAAAATCCCACGGTTTCGCCTCAATTCAAGTCCAATGGTATCCTTACCCAAATGTCAGAAATGCTTGCACCATTCTTATTCACGCCATTTTGCAAGAGATCCTCAATCGCCACCGTGCAATTCGCCACAAAATCATCGGAAGAAATGATGGAGCTGTGGTAAACTGTAAGTAAAACATTCTCGCCATTTTGAACTTTGGCATCGAAGTCTTCATTCCACGACGGTTTGACCGTCTTTTGCTTTATACTTGTCGTGCCGACATGTTGATCGTCCACGGTGATGATAATGTACGGGTCGATCACATTGGCCGCTGCCTTCTTCGAATCCTTCGATGTTACACTGTGTCTGGTGGAAAAATCGGTCGGTCTCAGGTCCACCGCCTCGCACACTCGCATCCGAATTGTGCCGTTAAAAACCACCATTTTGGCCACAGTTTATCTCCCAAATGGCGAACAGATAACTACTCATTCCCCTGCATGTTACAGACATAGACAACAGGGCCGGTGTGCCGGCAAATTTGCTGCACAAAACGTTTCTATTTTTGTAAATTCATGCTTGACAGATGGACTTGATGGATACAGAGGCTAGCTTTCGCATACAGTACATGTACGTCTAGTCTGCATCTGCAGCCGGCCGCAGACGAGGAAATTTGTTATGCGATCCCACAATGCGTCTGGGTGACCTTGCAAATTGTGCTGGACATTGTAATATTATCGGAAGTGAACTTTTCTCAATTTTTCTACAATACAAAATTTTGACAAATTTGGAGGATGCTGAGCTCACTGTATCAATTCAGCTCAGGGACATTGCTTTTAAAAATCCTTATGTAGATGCTGGATCTGGGCTAAGTACCGGTGCGTTTGGTAATGCAAGCAAAGATCGTATGTGCAAAGCCTCCGCAGAGTTTTCGTACAGCATGACTCTGACGTCACGTACTTACTCCGCATGTACGTACGTGCCATCATTGCGTTAAAAGTCGTACGCGGGAATACCTTGCGCGGATGTATGTAACAAAATAGTGTGCTACGTGTGCGCACTGTACTGCATGCATATGTTGTGCAGCTGGTATTGCGGATTGCGGATTGCGATATCATAACAAACAAGATGGCGGCGTACATAAGAAAGTGTTGTGCAACGAGACTCGCGGTGGGAAGGTAGGCAAACTTGTGGGTTTCCTCATCCTTCACGTTAGAACATAGTGGCATCAGTTACGTTCATTATCCCTGGACCCTGGCTTCGTATGTTTGAACTCACCTAATCAGCTGGCGAGGGCCAGATGCAGATTTATTTACTTTTCGAGATCGCAGTGCACGACGAATTTTCTTGCCAACTTGTTCCATTCCGGCATGTCCGGTTAACGTTGGCAAAGACAGTGCACAAACCGATGGGGGCTGTCACTCAGCATGCTCAGGCTGTGAGTGAGTGACCTACTTAAAACTTTTATTTGATTCTTCCTCATTCAATATATCATTTAGTGATAATCTTTTCGCTCATTGTTGTACTATCATGACTATTGGTAATTTGAACTATGATTTTAAACTTTACATGCTTTAGCATGTTTAGGACACCTCTAGTACTAGACCCGTGAACGTGGCGTTGTATACAACGCCACGCGCTTCCCTCGGGTAAATACAAGCGAAAGCATGGGAAAAGTTCCATACTCGGATGTCAATTTATCTGCTGCCAAACATATTTATTGTCACCTCACCTTGTCATTTGAACCAAAAGAAATCCAGGAAGCTGTGTAAAGGTGAAAAAAATGTACTCAAAATGTGTTTTTAGAGCACATTTTGGATGCATACGTCGTGCAGAACTAACTTGAAGCAGCCGGTAAAAACTGATTGTAGTGGCTGAAAAGACAGCGGTACGTTATACACGTGACATCAACAACCATGACGTCGCATGAGCCTGCCAATGATAGTGCAATACGTCATTATGAATATTTATTTTCTCATAAATATTTAGTTTATTTCAATGGTACTTCAAATACGTCCAAAGATTGATGATTGCAACAGCGATCGTGCGCGGCCTAGCGGTTAAGAGTCTCGTGTATCAAGCAAGCATCAGAGGTTCGAATCCCGATGAAGTAACTGACTGATTAATAAAAAGAAATTAAGGAAAGGAGAGGGTGAGAGTAGAGGAGGGAAAGTGGAGGAATAACCATAAAAGATGTAACTTTTGGCGCTAGAAAATTAATTGAAAAAAGTGACGTCCGAGTATGGAATTTTTTCCGAAAGCATTCTATCTTTTGATCCGCTACATATAACCATGTATAAGTTTGCACATGGGTGAATCACTTACTTGTTGGGCTTCCTGTGAATATACGCGAGTGTTGGATTTGTCATTGCCAAGAAATTTGATGTAAAATACGGCACAACTTTGCCACAACGAATGTTTCAAAATGATCAGAAATCTGAGCCAGGCATGAAACTCTGGTACCCTGAGTTCCGCATGCGCAAAACGGTTGGAGTATCACCAGTGGGTACCCGACTAACCGTCTTACATGGCAGGCTGACCGTAATACCATATAAAATTCTGCTAAATCCACTTCGAAAGTCTGTCAAATCACCCAGCATGTGCCCAGTATAATTGATGGTCCATTGTGCAAGGGTTTGTTTCAGGGATCTTTCAATAAATGAAGGTTTTTCAAACCAAATGTGCCATATTTCTCTAATCTTTTTCATTTTTCATTCATCTTCATAATTCTGCCAAAAAAAATATTCTGCTGATTTTCTGTACAACTCATTTTTGTATGCAATTATTCTGTCAAATGTAGCCGAAATTCGGCTAAACCGGTCACTCCATCTTAGTAACCGCGGATCACAATAGAGTGTTTTTACTATAGACTGAAGCGTGGCTATGTATATAGCCACGTTCACGGGTCTACTCTAGTACTAGTTCTACTCTGTCAAATCTACAGATCTATTTATATTACTATTAAATTCCGCAATTCTGAAATGACTTTTGAAGCCTCAAGCAGTCTTTTTTTAATATAGATTAACTCTAGGTTTCTATAATTTTTGATCAGAATTTAGGAAGAAAATGTGACTTTCTAACCTGTTTTAAAGTAGCAGTTTTGGGCCAAGTAAACAAATAAACCACTTTCTTGTCCTGCCCGCTACCTATCCTGCTCGTCTCTTTTTTTTTACTCATGCCCCATAGAGGGATCAAGGCATCTTTTTAACTTTTATTTATGGTTGAAACTTCCCTTATTTCGTTTTCTATGTTGTATTTTGTTTCAAATATATATAATTTTCAAAATAAGTCAGTGTTTGCCACATTAATGTGACTGATATTTAAGTAAATAAAAACCAGTCTAGATTTCAAATTCAGGGAACACAACTTTTCACAAACGGTAGCATGCATCGCTTTGTGGCTCACACTGCAGAGGAAGTCTTGAGACACAAACTTAACCTTCCCAACTCCATCAAAATCCATCCCCCTTTTGGGGGGATTTTGGTATGCAAGCCATTGGTACCAAGTCCATCAAAATCCATCAACTCCACCTATAGCAGATTTTATGATGGATTTTGGTAGTTTGGGTCCAGAAGCATTATGTGAAGCAGAGTCAGGGATGGATTTCGGTGGACTTGGGACTGTTCTTAGTAAAACTCAGTAAGGAGTTAGAGTTAATGGAGTAGGATCATCAGTGTCCGGTATTCAGAAGTACATGGAAGTCATGATGTCCATGACATCAGACTTTTTTCAACACAAAGGTTCTCTGTACTAAACTAGAAAGGTCATTGTTTTATTGCAAACAGTGGTATCACTATCAGGAAAGAATGCAGCATTCTGATGCTTATTTGTTGTTACCTAAAATTGTCGGGGAAATATTTCTCAGTTTCTGAAACCATGCTTTCCAACACAATTATCATTATGCAGTGACTTATCATCATTGAGATTGTGCTGAAAAAAAAAATGGTGTCAGGATACTATATTCTATATCCGAAGTGGGATGCTTTTGAAGGCCAGTGACGGAACAGGTTTTTGGTGCCCAAAATTCTGATGAAATGCTACTTTTTATGTTATTCATTTCCAGTGTTCTGAGAGGCTACAGGTTGCATCAAATTTGCTGGAGCAGTCCATTAGCAAAACAGTTCTCAGCAAGTACAAGTACCGAAGCAGAAGCTACAGAAGACACTATCAACATCACCGACAGTTGTGTGAAGGTAACAAAAAAAACTTGATTTGATTCAAATGAAGCTTTTTATATTAGAGAAGGGGAAACCTTGAGGTCACAAATTGCGAATAATACTTCTTTTCAGAATTAGACTGTACATGTATTTAGAATAAAAACCGTATCCTCTCTAAGTGATCCCCATTTGCTATTTCCCAGGTTTGCAGCATTGCTAATGTTGCTAGCATCATGACTTTGGGCATGATCCCTGGCGACATGGCAAAAAATAACTAGCACCCCTTGAACAAAGACATTGACAGAATGGGGAAACGCCGACATAAGGCTGGATAACTCAGTTGGTAGAGCACTGGAACGGCAATCCGGAGGTCGCAGGTTCAAACCCCGCTCCAGTCAATTTCTTTGTTCAATTGAAAAAATTATTCATAAATACCTAATACAGTTTACCCATTCCTATTGGTCGAGAGCCCGTCACGTGGCCAGTCTTAAGATTGGTAACACCTAGTTCCTCTGTTTGTTGAAACCAGCAACTCTCCAGGATTAATGAGGGCGACAAGCATCTGAGGGTTTTAGTGGAGGGAGGCGGCTGCTCGGGGTTTCAGTGCAAATTTCAACTGGACTCGCAACAAAACATCACTGAAGAAGACAGGTAACACAATAAAAAAAAATAAAAAAAAAATAATGTTTGGAAATTTTTCATTCTAGACCCCATTTTTAAGTCCTGGCAGGAGCTTCTACATGTCATTTCGTGGTCGGTCCGTCGGTCGATAGGTCGGTACCCGGAAAATTGACCAAAAACGAGCCCCCTAAGTTTCCCATAAAATACAACTACCAATTGACCAAAAATTGACCAAATGCAATGCTGTTGTCAGTAAATGCACTCTTGGCGAAAGTTTTTGAAACACGCCCCTTTGTCTCGATCGATGCGCATGCGCGTCTATTGAAGTGAGACATTCCGGAACCGGGCCAGAGCTTATTGTGCACTCGCTCTTGTTGAATTACATTTCACTTAGCTGTAGATTTTCAGTCAATTTCTTTGTTCAACTTTAAAGTTGTTATAACGCACCTTGTCAGTTTCCTGTGGTGGTTTATTTAAAAAAAAACTGCAAATGTAGTTAGAATTTCAAAGGGGAAAAAAGAACTGACCGATGCTTGAATCTCAAATCAACAGGGTGAGTCAAAAAGAAAATGACCGAATTTGAAAAATATTTTAAAGATATTTGGCTTGCTCCATTTCAGAAAAAAAATACCAAAGGGATAAAGTACGGTACATCTTATTGACTTTTAAATTAAAATTTCACGTAGTTTGCATACTCTATTCCCAAGTTGTCTATTTTAATAAAAGATCACAAAACTTGGCTGTCCACCACTGATCATCTACCATTCTAAGAACTGACGAGTACCCATTGAGTAGAATGAAACATGGACGTTTTTCCCACCTCGATGAATGAACGAGAACTTGCAAAGGAAAACATACAAAAATCACCATCAATTTTTTTAGAAATAAAAAGAGTTTCTCCTATTCAAAACACAAAATCTGACGGTAAAAATAATGTTTCAGTCTTGTTTTCAATTATTAAAGTCCCATTGGTATTTGAATGCTTGTGTGTAATCTGTAATTCTCACTATTAAGCTCAATAGCTTCCAATGGCATTCCATGGACAGCTATAAAAATGGGTTCTTTTAGTAAAACATGCATAACTTCTGATGGCATGGATCAATTTTAGTAATTCTTTTTTTTTTCAGATGAGTGGAAGAACATGCTCTTTTAAGACATACTTCATTGGTGTATCAATTTTGATTACTGTTAAGAATTTTTTTTTTTTAATCCCGGTCACTTTCATTTTGACTCCCCCTGTACAGGGTGTTTGAGCGAGACGGTGTGAAGGTGATAGTGGACGAGGTATCTCTGGGTTACATCAAGGGTGCAACGGTGGACTTCCACCAGGAGTTAATTCGCTCCGCCTTCAGGATCACCAATATCCCCATGTCTGAGAACGGCTGCTCATGTGGTGTCTCTTTCTCCCTCAAGTTATAATGGAAGATGTGTTGATAGCTAAAATGAGGTGCGTTTTGTAATATTGGATTTCGCCCCTCACTGATGTGATCTTTATTTTTATAAGTTGATGGAATAGCATGCATTCCTTCTCATAGTTAAATCCTTGTTTACTTTAATCAAACCTGTACATGTTTTACGGTGTAAGTGCTTCTGTAATTGCCGGATTTCAGGCTTTTTCAAATTGTGAATCACATATTGGCACCATACATTTGTTTAAAAAAGTCTTCGTTTCCTCCATTCCTCAAATTTCAGGCAAACATTTTCATGGCCCCCAGCTCTTCCTGTATGAAGACCCTGGAATCCAGCAAAATCGGAATGATCTCATCTTCATTGTGTTGCATGTTGAAAACACTGAATGATACTCCAGAAAAATGTGCTGGCCAGTTTTGATTTTGGGTAATGTGTCTGTATCAGATTCAATTTTAACTTTTTATTGAAACAGGAAAAAACTACTTTTTTTTCTCCATTTTTGACGTTTTCAACACTCTGTACATTTATTTTGAGTAACCTTTTTTACCCACAAGGCACAAAATATATGGCTGAATTATTGTTGGGCTGCAAATACTTCCAAATTTGTAAAGTAATTATTGCATAACTAAATGTGGGGAATTTCTTGTTGGTTTATGTCTCGGTCAAAAGTGAAAATTGCTAGAAACAAATAGCAATTTCAAAACAAAATCAATTTTTCGGGGTGAAACTTGAAAACAGCATGGGGAGAATAATTTTAACTTCCACAAGAATCTGTGTTGTCTAACTAGACCTCATTTATGACCTGTATTATTTTGTAACACATTTACATAATTAACTCCCGGGTTATCATTGGCCAAACTTCTAGTGCATGTTTCAGCAGTTTTACACATTACAGAAGGAAACAAAAAGGGAGACGGAACTTTGTTTGATATGCCATTGATCCCCTTTGATACTTGCAGAACTATTACAGGGTCACATTTAATACCAAAAGCATATGAAATTCATTTCACACAGTAACATTTTTTGTGTGCTAATATCCATGACTCTGACCTATTTCAAAATAGTGGAAAATCCCAATTTGGTTTAGGAATGTTTAAAACTGTTTGTTGGCATTGTCCATATTTATTTTTTTGACTCCTCTGGATGCTAGTGCTATATGTTATGCCACTTGAGGCAGTCGCTTGACCATTTTGGGATTTCTGTACAAATGATCAACCTAAAGTTTAATTCAGTGTAGCAGTTTTTGTTAACATTAAATACAGGTTTGCTATGTTGATTGATTGCCTGCCAGGCTTTAAATTATATTTAGAGAGAAACAAGTGTGCCAAGTATTTGTGCCTGTGCTAATGACAGTCACATTTTGATTACTCGTATGCATTTCTATGGGGCTACGAAACCATTGTTCCCACCAGGCTGCCATATGAAAGCGCACATGGGCCTTATGCACAATTAGTTGGCCATTTTTGTTGAGTTTCCCCAAAGTATTTCATTAATTGTTAACTGTTGAATGGGGTGGCACCAGACTTTTTATTTATGCAGGCATTGTTTTGGTACTGTCTTCTTTTTTAAATCTGGCTTTAAACATTAGAGACTGTTTAATTTTAAATTATTCATTGAAGCGGACTGGAATTGATTAGAAATTAACTTGCTTTCATTTATCTTCGCAAGCTCAAAGAATTAGGTTTTTACCTCACTTTCAATTCAATATGGCCGACTCGTGAATAAGGCCCATGTAAAAAAAAAAAGTTGACATCATCAGTACAGAGGCTTATTGAGATGTAAACCTAAAGCTTCTGCCTAAAGATGACATCACTGTGTTCATCCTGAATGTGGAAACTTAAAGAGTAAAGAGAATGGGGTACCAAGGTACATGGTGTAACTATAGCAGGAGTCACCGCAAGATTGTGAATGTTGTAGGCTTAATGTTTACCGTATTGTTTTGGTTGGCAAAGGTGTTAACCAACTTGACATCAACAAGTGAGTGGAGACTGAGCTTTTGTCCAATGGTTGTACCTAATCCAATTATAGCTCAGCAGTCAAGATAACTGTTAACAGTTATGGATCAACAAAGGCAAGTTACTGTAAACATTGAGCTGCAAACTTGCCAACAGGAAACTGTTACCTGGTAAACAATAGGCTGCAGCCGCATGGTGTGATGTGAGGCTATATCAGATGTGAGGCTATAGCAGTAGGCTATCAGCTGTAATTCCAAATTAGGATATAAAGATTTTGGAATTCTAGACCAGCTTCACACATGCATTGAAAACAGAGGTTGTTAGCGCTAAACCATACGACATTGCAGACCTTTCGTAATCCTTCACACAAAAGGAATTAGAGGCGCACTTGCCTTGGTGCTAATTAGGAATTAACCATTAAGCCAGAGATGATAAGCAACTTAGGTATGAGGCTTTTGCATACGAGATGATTGCGCTGCACACTTTTTATGATACAAAGTGAAGAAACACAAGAGTCGGTCCATGTTGGTGCACCATATCTATACAATTTTTTTTTTTAAAGAGCAAAAACCCCAAAACACCCTCCCCTAAAAAAAACGGGGAACAAATTAACAAACACCAACATATATGAGCAAGGGATAAAACACAGTATATTTATTGCGTGATATAGTGTATTTGTAACAAATGAACATGTAGCCCAAACTATACCAAGGTTTTGGAAATAAAACCTTATAATTCACTGAATGGACTCTTATTGAATTTATTAAGTTATCAACAATGTGTTTAAGATGTACAACACCGAAAGTTGATATTCATATCTGTTGATGTTCTTGTTTATGCTCGAGTTTAACATGTTGCTACAAAGGCTTACTAACTGTACATAAATAAAATGAGATAATATATGTTAACTACAACCGTTTTTCCTTGGATGATTATTACTTGTGTGACCTTACTTAGCACCATCAGTGGGTAGTCCCTGCTCTTGAGTTACGGATTCTTAAACAAATCTTTAACAACAGGAATCCACAGGAGCTTTCAACTTCTATGTCCTGCAAAATGTTTCAATTCATCAGAATATCGAACTGAGTGACATATCGAAATGAAGAGCTGAATGAAATCTTTTTTGGGAAAGATTCCCATACCTGGCCATCAATTTTTTTTCCCTGCAGTGACCTATCAGCCATCAGAGAGTGTTAATATGTCCTAAAAAAAGGTCAAATTTAGCAGGGAAAATATTGAAGAATTTACATTTGGGTACTGAGAAAACACTTACAAATTTTCAGACCAGCCTTTTAGGGTTTGTGCACAGGGTGACGAGTGATGTCCAGGTATGGAAATATTTCCCTTTTTTTTCTTTAAATGAAATATTAATAAGTGAAATGTTTTTCAAGACATGTCTCATTGGATGCGATCACAAGGTAGTCTATTCAAGGATTGGCCCAAGGGGCTTGTTGGGGTGGCTAACAACCCACCCCCCCCCCCCCTTCGCTCAGACTGACCAATGTTAATTTTTTACACCATAGAAAAATTGTTCCTTGAGTCCTCATCAAATGTCACTAGGCTACTCAATATTGCAAAACTTGGTGCATTGCCTTAAGTTCTTTGTTACGTTGACTGCAACATCAATCCTTCATCTAACGCCCAACACCCACCCTTTAAAAATTCCAGCCACCTCCTTAAGAAAATTCTATATCCCCCACTGATATTGCTTGGAGACAATGTTATATGAACTTTGGACTCTTATAAAATCAGGTCCCTATTACTTTATATGGTCTCTAACCCGTGACATGCCACTGTACTAATTATCTTCACCAAGGCATGCGCAATACAACCAATGAGGCTGTATTCATGGTGTCCCAATTTCACACGACACCAGTACTGATAAGGACTCATTACAAACTATTTTCCACATGTATGAAAAAAATACCACTCCTTGGCAGCTGGAGAAGTTTCAAGTCTAGATTGCCAGTTGTTTGGAACTAGACAGCTTCATTAGAAGAAGGCAATGCAAACATTTGCATCTGCAGGTACCATGTAAAACAGTAAGTATTATGTAGTCATCACATGAGTAACTAGAAAGCACTCAGAGAGCGCAAACCTCCGCCAAGGCTGAACAATTTCACCGCCATATTGTTGGTACACCCAAAAGAAATACTCGCATATTAAAATGGTGAACGAATCCTTTAAAATAAATCCTGGATCCAGACCAAGATCCAGATCACCAAAGTCCAATCGATTTGTACTTGTATCAAGGCACACTCCTAAAAACGTTTTTATGTAGGCAAAATCCATCCAAAACTTGTTGAGTTATCTTATCAACAGACAAACCAACCAACCAACAAACAAACAAACGCCGATGAAAAAAATAACCTCCTTGGCCGAGCTAGGTACTAGAAAGCACTCACAGAGCGCAAATCTCCGCAAAGGTTAAACAATTCCCCGCCATTTTGTCAGTACACCCAAAAGAAATACTCGCATAAAATTGGTGAAGAATCTTTTATTAAAATCCTGGATCCAGACCTAGATCCGATCACTTCCAAAATATAATCGATTTCTACTTGTACCAAGGACCACCCCTAAAAGATGTTTCATGCAAATCCGTCCATGCCTTTTTGAGTGATCGTGTTCATAGACAGACCGACCAACCAACCAACAAACGCCGATGAAAACATAACCTCCTTGGCAGAGGTAACAATTTTTTTTTGGGGGGGGGGGCTGGTTTTTGAAGTCTTATTCCCACGTTGGTAGAGTTTGAGAGCTCTGCTCAGAAACCAGATCAGAGACGAGTGTACCGTTTGCCAATCCGACACAATCTGTCCTGGGCCGATACAATAAAACGGACATCCTGCATGCGAAAGACAAAATCAAAGATACATCTGGTTATAAATGTCATCTTCGTTAGCAACCACAGAGGTGGACGGAATGACATGAAAGGGACCCGACGCAATTTCTGGGAAGTGCGCGCGACGTTGAACGCAAACATTGGCTTTGATAACAACCCGTCCCCTCATTTTCCTTGCCGTCCAAATAATGTAAATGGGCTTCTGTTTCTTTGATTTGTGGAGAACAGCTTTTTATGCGGCAGTCAGGTTGGGTCTTTCCTTATGAGCCACATACCTGTCTTGTTGGATGCCCAGCTCATTACTGCCAAACTCAATCAGCAGACGCGTTATCTTCCGGTTAATCTCTGCGTCGTAGAAAGCTGCACAACAATAGATCTCTATGATTGCATTGGGCGAGTTGTCTCTGCCTCTAATGATGCGTTGCCCGGGCAACAGCCATACGGTGAAATACTGTAAGAATGTGAGAAATCGAGGTAGAAAAAATCTCTACATGCCAATTAATACATTTCTGTCATTAAATCAGTCTTGGTTATAGAGCCAATTTTAATTTAAAGTGTAGCTAGCTATAGGTGCACATGTAATATGTAAGAAAGATGTAATCTTTAGTAACTATAGAATGCTGATGTTTTGAAGTAAATTTAGTTTACTTGCCATTTTTTACCACAATACATCGTCGATTCTCTTTCAAACCTGGTTTTTTAGAACATTTACTTCACCCTAGACAAATGGTAAAACCATAATATACCACACTGAGCATCCAAAATATAGTTCTAATTATTCTTTGTTTCTTAATGATAAGGAAAAATGTACATCTCGGAAAACAATAATATCATTTGTTATCATAATATTTGTTATCATAGTATCGGTATCACTCCTCTAATATCGGAAGTGGCGAGGATTTTTTGTGTGTGGACAAAGACAAAATATTTAAGCGATATATTGAGATATAAAAGTAAGAAGTATAGTTCAAGTACAACTAGTGAGATTGGCTGAAAGATGCTAGCATGGGAGTGGCTCTGAAAAAAGTTCCCGATTATATATCACCATATTTGTGGCGTTATTTCGATGTGCATTTCACGTCAAAGTAAATTAAGAGATGCATTTCAAAACGATATGTGATCAGCAACATCATCCCACCGAGCTTCATTCTACATATACTTGTAAGTTGAAATCGTTTCTGTATTCTGATCGTACTTGGGTCTTTTCTTTTTGTTCGGTTAGGGTTCGGAAGGCGGAAGCCACCAAATTGATGTATATTTTTGTAGCCGGGGCTATTACGCCATACGATACACAGTTTGGAAAATGCTGTGTTTCGTGTGAATGTTTGTTATTGTAACTCTTTTGATGTGGAAATATCGTCGACAATGGATGTTGCATTATCGAAACAAAACAAGAAATCACCCACCAGCTTACCATAGAATGGTAAAATGGAAACATTTTCACAAAGGAATTACAATTTTATCACAACTGAAAAAACCACGATACCCTCTCTGAATAATGTGTCAGTGAATTTACCTGCTCTTTCCATTGACTGATGCATTCCTTTAGTTTACTGGACAATTTTAACTCCAGGTCGCACGCCATGTGACTCTCCGGTACGTTGGTGATAAATTTCAGTAGCGGCATTTTGACATTTACGCCGGACCAACAAAATCCTCGTCTACTCGGGATGGAGTTTCACTTGATACTGTCATTAATCAACAAAAATCGTGGAAGTAATAATGTCCACGTCGCGTGATGTTTAAAAGCTTTAAAAAAAGCTTGGTATTGGCAACAACCATATTGAATGCCACGTGTAACTGAATTTTGTAAGGGTATTTTTCAAGGGTGCTTGTGCATGCAGCAATGACGTTTTTGTGTACACGTATTTTATTGAAGATGTTATTAATATCTTTTTGTCATGGCTACATGTAATTAGTACACGTGTAGTTATGTTTACTTTATAAGCGCGCGTTGGGGTGCGATCTGCATGCGCACGAATACGGAGGCATACACCGTTCGTGGTTGTAGATAATAGGCCCTACCCTTGGCGCAACTAGCCTCATTTTCTGCTATGGAGGGGCAACCACTGATGTGTTTCAGACTGAAATGTTTCGCTTTCCACTAAATTCTAAGTTGGGTGGGTAAGTTAATAGCAGACTCGCACATGACTCGTGACTCGGACTGGAGTCCGACTCGAGTCTCATTTATCGTGACTCGGACTTGGACTCGAGTTACATTGACAAATGACTCGGACTCAGGCATTCGGACTAGGAATTGGACTCGGGACTCGACCAAAATTACCACAAATCACTTATTGTTTTTTTCAACAGTATAATTACAAGTCATTTTGAAGGCAAGCCTCTCCTGCAAAGCGATACACAGCCTGTGCGGTGCAGAAGAAACGTAGTACACATACACTGTAGTGCGTAAATGCAAAGATATTGATGAAATGCAAGCTTGATAATTATCCTTTTCAGGTGGTACTTCGGCTTAGACAAGTTACACATGTATTTACAGTTCTTAAATAACTTAGAAAAGCTATGAAAAAAATGGAAACATTTACACTATGAGGTTTTGGCAGCACCTCAGGGGAAAACTTTTCATTTTAATTGGTGACTCGTGACTCGGACTTGGACTCGACCTTTGTATTAAACGCATGACTTGGACTCGGACTCGACCTGCTTGACTTAGGACTCGGACTCGGACTCGATGTTTGGTGACTCGAATACAACTCTGGTAGTTAGGGAGGGGTTGTTAATGAGGGCACATACGGTCCACATGCAGGATGGGGACGTGCCCCCTCCCATGCACACCCCACCCTTCTTTGCTTGCCTTAGGGCAGCAGCTCAAGACTGACGACGGGAAAGTCAATGATACCCAACAAGTTCGTAATTCAGCACGGACGGGTCAGGAACATTTAACGGTATGCTTGTATTTCTGAGAACAGCTTGGTACTGGTTTGCTGTCTTCGACGACTTCAAATTGCTGCCGGAGTTTAAAGGGAAAAGATGTTATTGTCCTTTAAAATGCATACCCTGTGCTCTTTTAGAAAAAAAAACCCCTGATTTTTGTCTACTTACGAATTGTCAATTTGTACGTTTTTTTTGTCAACGAAATCACTACGTTATTCCAATCTTGGGCATCTGCAGCCGGCCTTCAGGAAAAAAAAGGAATTTCCTTTGGTGCATAGGCCTATAAATGGGCCCGCTGCCCGCCCTGCATCGACTTTTGTGAAGAAATAATAACTATTAAACGTCGGTGTTTTTTTTCGTTCGATGTCTCATTCAAACCTGAATGACTTTTATATTGCAAGGCAAATAGCGATTGAAACAACAATAAAAAACAAATCTATTTTTGGAGGTGAAACTCGAAAATAGTATACGGGAACGCATCTTTTAGTGCTTCAAAAAATATATTGCGCACCAAGCAAGAAAAACGTTTCCACTGATGATGCTTCCACAATCAAATCTCTAGTTTCCAAGTTAGTTCGGCAGACATTGCTTCTCGAATAGAAATAGCTAGATCCGACGAAAACGTTGAATGTTTAGCTAGAGATATAACTAGATAGTACCGGCATATCAAGGGGTGCGGGAAAATGGTTATTCACATGTATAAATATTATGGACTCGCCAATCTGAGGGCGGTCGCGCATGATCATAATTTTGGTTGAAGTTCACAACTAACGGGAGGAATGGGGGTTTGTAAATGTTAGTAGGAATGCCAAATCACGAGACAGGTTATCCAGAATGGAAATATATTTCTGTCAACTTTTTTTTTTACATGCGTTGACTTTAGACCTAGGCATATATCAAGTGCAACGACGCATTTCCCCTTCCCCTAAACGTCAAGCAATATATAAGCCGGGAAAAAAACACGCCAAATTATTTTTCAAAACTTTTTTTTTTGGGGGGGGGGGCAAAGAAAACTGCTGAAAGAATCCCCAAAAAAGTTAATTTCCAAAAATATTAAAATTAGCCTATATCATGGAAAAAAACTGAAAGACCGCGACGGCATAATTGCTCTATAGCTAGAGGGCGCCATTTCAGTTACTCAGGAGTAGTCTGGACCCATTCAGGCATTTAGCGGTAATTGTTTGCTGTTTAAACGGCTGAACACGTGCTTTGTATCAGGAGCCAGACTTGGCATTTACTGCATGTATTTTTGTCATTTCGAGAAATTTCTTATTTCCGACCGCGTACATTATTATATTGAGTGGGTGGTCAGTGTGGTCAGTTGCCGTTTCTTATTCCGAAGTAAGTCTGTAAGTTTTCTGAAGTGTACACGATGGCCAAGTGGGGACAAGGTGACCCTCGGTGGATTGTTGAAGAGAGATCGGACGCTACAAATGTTAACAACTGGCATTGGTGAGTCACACTACTAGACGCAGTCTGGTAAAACAAAGTCACGTTCAGACTTTGACAATTACCATTGTTGTATTCAACAAATTGAACAACTTCCGGCATTTCCGGTGTAACAAAACAAACATTAGATAGGGAGTCCAGCGAATCTCATTTTTTAAAGAAAGAAATCATGTTTTGTATCTCTGAAAAGAGAATTGTACAACAAAATCAATGGCGTTTGATCAGTTTCAAAGTACGGTAATCCTTACTTTTAGGACCCCTTTCCTATATAAGATTATAAGGTTAAAAGACTCACCAAAACAGCTGACTAAATGACACTCAAAAGTGACATTCTGATATTTATTGACACATTTGAACATTTGGCAATGACACCTCTTGAATATCAGCAGGTTTGATTTTGTAGAAAGAGGGCAGGGTTTTGATTTATGAGGGGTTAAAGACGACGATGACAAACAGAAAATACATTTTAAAAGCAAGATGGCAAACTGCAAAAAAAGGTACGAAAGTCACATTTTCTTTGAAAGTGCTTTCAAAATTATAACTAACATGAGTTTGTCTGAAGAAAAAAGACTTCTTTAGCCTGCAAAATTCACTTTGGTACTGGACAGTCATCTGCAAAAGTCAGTTTTGAACAGAACTCGTACAAAATAGAGGTGTCCTAAAAGTAAGGATTACCCAAAGTACCCTATGGCCTATGGGTATTACTCGTAATATCCATAGATAGGCATATCAACGCGAACATGTTGTATACTCCACGAATATTATTCAATAAACCTGCCAGCATGTTGGCCTGTGAGTTCTTGAGCGACCGCAGTATATTTGTACCCCAAGACCTATGCCCAGTACTTCTTGACATACTCACGTTCATATCGCTAACAAGTAAGGGTTGAATCGATCTCGATTCAATATATATATTGATTCATGTCATGCTTGTATCATTTCGAACCTAGCGAAATCGATCCGCCGTACATAATTTTGTATGCAGGTTGGGTACTTTTACCTAGAAATCTATATTTGCTTTCACATGTGTTCAGGATGTACTTCCAGAACTGTAAGTTTTTTTACAAACCTTACAGAAAGACCAACTGAAGTTGCTGTAGCAGAAAATTTCAATTTTTTCCCAACCTCCAAACTCTCCTGTCGCGAAATGTTCGGCCTCAATATTTCTTAAGTTTTATCTTGATGTGGATTTGTACCTCTAGGGTGGGTTGAAATCCCTCAAATGACAAACAAAAAGGTGAAATTTGCCAGAATGTCATTCACCAGGATTAATGGAGTCTCGCACTCGGCCGTCTCTCATCGTTTGCCGTCAACTGAGGGCGCTTTAATTCTCTTGACCAACTACAGTGCGGCTTTCATTCCGAAAGTGTCTCTGTGCCTCACGCAATTTTTTATCATTTTTCCCATAAAAATATTAGGGTAGGGGCTGTCAAAATAGGGTAGATGGGGAAACCGGAAGCACCACTATTTTTATGCCCCGCGGCGAAGCCGAAGGGGCATACTGTTTCCGCCTTGTCCTTCCGTGGGTGGGTGGGTGTGTGGGTGTGTGTGTGGGTGAGCTTGTCTTACATACGCAGTGTGGACTTCCGAACAAAAGACGTCCACATAATGTAGGTAGCAGCGACGAAGTGTGGACTTGCCCACGTCCACACAGTGTTTCCCCATTTCTGGAAAACAGGTTTAGAGGCATTTTTGGGTTAGGTTTATCTGTAGCAGAATGAAGAGAAACACTAAAGGGAATCATTGAAAAAAAATTGGGTTGTAAGAGTTTTCACAGTTTGAGAAAAATGAGTTTTTCCACTGGTGTTTCTTAACTACACGAAAAGAAAGGAAAGTCCACACTAGGTATGTGAAACAAGTCTGGGTGTGTGTGTGGGTGTGTGTGTCCGGACAAATCTTGTCAGCGCGATAACTTGAGAAATACTTTACATATGAACTTCAAATTTGGTGTGTGGATTGTCCTTGGTAATCCTAAGAAGCCTTTTGCATTTGGGGCCGAAAGGTCAAGGGTCAAGGTCACAGTGGCTGAAACAATAGAAATTTTGTCAGCGCGATAACTTGAGAAATACTTTACATATGAACTTCAAATTTGGTTTGTGGATTGTCCTTGGCAATTCTAAGAAGCCGTTTGCATTTGGGGCCAAAAGGTCAAGGGTCAAGGTCACAGTGACTAAAACAAAAGAAATTTTGTCAGCGCGATAACTTGAGAAATACTTTACATATGAACTTCAAATTTGGTTTGTATATTGTTCTTGGTAATCCTAAGAAGCCTATTGCATTTGGGGCCGAAAGGTCAAGGGTCAAGGTCACAGTGGCTGAAACAATAGAAATTTTGTCAGCGCGATAACTTGAGAAATACTTTACATATGAACTTCAAATTTGGTTTGTGGATTGTCCTTGGCAATCCTAAGAAGCCTTTTGCATTTGGGGCCAAAAGGTCAAGGGTCAAGGTCACAGTGGCAAAAACAAAAGAAATTTTGTCAGCGTGATAACTTGAGATATACTTTACATATGAATTTCAAATTTGGTTTGTGGATTGTCCTTGGCAATCCTAAGAAGCCTATCGCATTGGGGGTCGAAAGGTCAAGGGTCAAGGTCACAGTGGCTAAAACAATAGAAATCTTGTATTTATTCTGAGATCATAGGGATTAGGGATTAATTCATATAAAACCTACAGAAGACACTAATGCTGTCAATGAACGTTCCATTTGACCAAGGTACATGTAAGTTGATGTTAGAGTGGTGTTATGTCATGGAAACAGTCACGGTTGCGGGGCATTTGTGTTTGTAAACACACCTGACTTGTTTTTTTTTGGGCCTAACTGCTAGTGCAGATTAACAAGTGTAACACTAAACTGCAATTGACAATTGGAGGTTGTAAACTTAATCCATACACTACTTCTAATTCATTCTCTGCATGGCTTTTCTCTTCAGGACGGAGCGAGATGCATCCTGTTCATCTAAAGAGCACCTGAAAGAATTATTGGTTGGTCTAAAAATCCAAGACGATAAAGGTTGGTTCATGGATTCATGAAATAATCATATTTCAACATTGTCATCATATGAAGACATGTTATTCAGAGAAAACAGTTATTCTTTCTCTCTGCTGACAAATTCAGCTACGCCATCACAGCAGTCGAAATTAATCAAGCGATTGTTTTTAACAGTTAAGAATTCCCTGGTAAATCTGATACATGTATATCCATGCTTTGACTTGAGTTGATTGACATGCCAGCTGTACCTACCAATTGTCTCTTTTGTCTGTTGATAAAATTTGACTAGTCACAGTGTTTTCACAAATGTGATCTGACTGTTTTTTACTAGTCCGAAAATTTGGGACTATCAATACTGTGTATGATATGAGAGTCCCAAAACTTAAGCTATTGAGAACGTGCAATACAAGAAAATAGACTGGCACATGAAACAACCAGTCCAACACAGCTTCAGTACTGCATCAATCAACTGTGCCAAAAGAAGCATCTGGCATGTCTGGTACTAGTCTCTATTTCTACACATCTCTCCATAGTCAGCCACCAGACTAATGACAATGAATGAAGAGGGCAGTCTTTTCAAACAGTTGGACCATGGTTGGACATGTACCAGTCTAGTCTTTAGCCTCATTTTCAAATCACTTGACTTCCCTCTCATGTGCTAAAATATTGAAGAAAAGTCTCCTTTAAAAATGGAATAAGTCTTCAAACTTGGTTGGTGAAATGAGGACCTTTTCTTTGCCCAATGAAAATTTTGGAGAATTTTGTTAGCTGAAGAGTGAATTGGCTTAAGAGTGATTTGGTTTTGCATATTTTTCAGCACTCTGGTTTTTTACTAGCCTGCATACAAATACATGGCGGGGGAAGTGGGAGAACCGTTTGACTGTCTGTGACTGATCAAACAGTAGGAGGGTGAAAGAAGAAAGAAAGAGGATTTTTTTTGTCACTCTATTTCACTTTACCTTATACATTGAAAAGAAATTCAGGAAAAGGAAAGATTTCCATATATACGAAGTTCACTAGTTTTCCTCTGTATTGACTAACAAGCCCCCAGATAGCAATTTCATGTCATCAAAGTCAATTTGAGCAGTGAGAAAATACAAGCATTTTCTTAGAAAACACTTAGATTTTTTCAGTCCAATCTCATAGGGTATGTACACAGGGTGTTGAGTGAACTTCGTATATGGAAATCTTTCCCAGGAAAATGTATAGGCCTAAGTGGCTATTTTTTGTGTGTCTGTTTTTAGGTGAATGCGAGGTGATTGAGATGACAAGTATTGAGGGTGAAGCATCAGCCAGCAACAGGAAAGCCAAACTCATCTTCTTCTATGAATGGAACATCAAACTAGAATGGCAAGGTTTGTCGATGTGACACTAATCCTTACCCTCCCAGAACCTTTTAAGCTTGACCAGAAGATTTTGGAGAGTTTTGCTAAGTACATGCACGATGATACAGTGACACTAAACCTTTACCCTTCCAGATCTTAACCAGTTCGCGCTGGGATTATTTTGACATGACCAGACCCAGGCGCGGGATTGTTTTTCACGAACCTCGATGCCAGACGGGTTCAGGCCGTCATCTGTGGGTAGCACACCCTGATATTTCCAGCCTCGCTTGCTGTGAGCAGGTCGCTGACAGATATTTCCGGCCACACTTGTTGTGTGTATATGCATCCGTCATCCGTTCAGAATACCGCAATACATTTGCGTGCATACACGTCATCCGACATGAACTGGTTGACTAGAAGATTTTGCAGTTTCGCATTTACGTGCACGATATTACAGTTGTGTTCCTTCGTGCTATTTTCAAGTCTCATCTCGAGAAAAATATTCCTTTTCTAAATTGTTACTCTTCTAGCAACACAAAAGTTAGTCACTTTTAAATTAGACATTGGATGAAAAAAAATCGGCCCATGTTTTGTTATTGAATTATAACAACAATTTCAAATTATTGGCTGCCAGACAATAATTTTGTTCTGTTTGTGCCCAAACCAACACCCTTTCTGTTCAGAGGGTTGCAGACGTCCCCAAGAAAGGAAAAAGGACTTTGTTTGTTTGTTTGAATAAAACACGCAAGTTGACATTTTTTTTATAGAAAAAAATTGAAAGAGCACTTGGAATGCAATTTTTTAGCACAAAGAACATCAATGAAATTAATTCTCAATTTGTCAAAGAATTTAGTACAGTGTGCTTCGTGAATGAAAATGAAAAATGGAAGTGGCAATAAAATAATTACATTTTTTTTTGGTTTTCTGTTAAGGTAACCTCAAAGACTGCAGTACCAAACTGAAGGGACATGTGGAAATCCCCAACCTCAGCGACGAGAATGATTTGGATCAGATAGACGTAAGTTCAACATTTCCCCCTCTTCCTCATAGGATTACTATTTCCAATTCTAAGTTCAGTGTGTCACTTACAGGGTTGTGATCAGGGCACTAATCACAAGTCAATCACATGTCGATCACATGTCGATCACATGTCGATCACAAGTCATTTACAAGTCATTCACAAGTCATTCACATTTTTTTCCAACTTTCACTCGGGAGGTAACACACTGAGTATACAGTGTTTATACGTTGGTGAAGGGCAAAACCTATTTTGCTTTACATCACCCCGATGCAAAATTCCATCTTATGAATAAGTCATTCACATGTCGATCACATGTCGATCACATGTTGATCACATGTTGATCACATGTTGATCACATGTCATTCACAAGTCTAGTGACAAGCTAATCAAAAGGAATTTTAACAACGGCATCCCTTTGTCGTGCACCGTTCCACATACACCGCCATCTTTGTTGTCACATGGTAATCTCAGGTGGACATGTCATTGGAAATACGTCCCATCATGTCATTGTATCCTGAGCACTCACTAGGGGACATTTTTTTCAACACTTTCTCGATTCTCCAAACGAGCTGTTCCCAATTACACTGAAACTAAATTTCTGTATGATGAATATTTGTATATCTCTCAATCAATTATATTCATGTTGTTTGTCTGTAAACAGATTACCGTTACGACTAAGAAAAATACCGAGGAGTCCAGAATACTGAAGGAAATAATGCGCAGCAAAGGCACCACCGTCATCCGAGAACAGCTTGGCAAATATATCACCTTCCTCAAAGAAGGTATGTTCACAGAGAATTGGTAGAGAGCAATATATTATAGGCTTTCCCAGCTATTTTAAAACGTTTTTCATTCCAGTTCACCAATTCTATTATTCAAATTCGGCCGAGATGAATTTCAGTCATTTATCATTGCAAAAGTTGGTCAACCTTAAAGCCGGAGTCCATGTAAGCCGGACTCCCTGTGAAATTATTCTTTCTGGCAAGCTCTCATTTTGAAGAAATCAACGAAAGAAGGCATTTCCAACGATGCGTCTTAAGAAGCACCGTAGGAAAATTTAAATTAGTAGTTCGTTTTGTTATTCGGCGCAGTGCGCGCAAGCATTGGAACGACGCACAGGCGCGCGCGGTTGCTATAATTCGTCGGATCAGTGCGCGACATCGCGTAAAGCTGCAATTCAAAACAATTCAAAACATGATTTAGCAACTTCTGATTTGAAATTGAGATCCTAGAATGCTGTTTTTCTCAGAATATACAACTGAAGCTGAGCTGAAACTCCATCGGGTTAGTTGTTCAGTATCCTTCATTAGATTTTGAACACTTTTGTTGCTTCAAACGAACAAAATGCACAAATTACAAATGATGGACTATAGCTTTAAGCACTTGGAACAAGAATATTCTGCAATACAGATTTAATTTGTCTCGGCTGTTGTCGAATTACAGCATTCAGAGATCAAATTCTTCTTAACAATCAATTTAATTAAATTAGTGTGGTGTGGTTTTTTACTCTTTTTTTTTCTTTTCTCTTTCAAAGATATGAGTAAAGGAATGATACTGCCGTCAGCAGACACACAGAAGGAATCACAACCGGCCGTGTCTAAGCCCACACCTCCCAAGGTATTTTCTACACTAACCGTTCTTTTGTTTGATCAGTCACAGACAGTCAAAACTTCAATCCTGTTCCCTGCCATGCCTTTTACAACAGTCAGATCATATTTCTTGTAGGCACTGTGACAGTCCAATTCCATCAACAGACAATTTACCAGGTGACTGGTAGGCACAGCTGGCCTTTCAGTCTCCTGCAGTCAAAGCATAGCTGTATCAGGTTTCATAAAAATCACAGCCAGTCAATCCTGCTTTATGAAGGCAGGGAGCAATCAGAGATGCCACTTTTCAAATATACAAATATTGAATGCTTCGAGTGATGTAGTAAAACTAGCCTCCCGAGGTGATCCATTCAGCATTCTATTTTTCTCGAGGCGAACCACGATATAAAGCAGTCAATATTTGTTTTATAACACCTCTCCCACAGATTCTGCTTGATTTTAAGCAATAACTGATTAATTTAATCTGAATACAATACAACTTGACTTCTATTTGAATACCAAATTAGTTAAAATTAACTTGCTCTTTTTCTAACTACCCCTTCACGAAATGTTTGAACCCAGCTCTGTAGCGCTCGCACTTGGAAACAATACGCGCAACGCGCAACACACACACCCCTATGCATTTTGCACACAGTGCGTATAGTACTTTGGTTGCTACGGGTATAGTACCGGTACTTTGGTTGCTGTGGATATAGTACTTTTGGCCGTGCGCTGAAAGTTAGCAAAAATAGAAAGTACCATGTGACTCGCTCTCGGCCAATCATGACACAGAATCTGTGGGTGAGGTGTTATAATCCTAAATGTATGCATGGCTAAGCATAAACAAGGCAAGGTACAGCCTTCACACAAGACCTTGATTCAGTGCGTGCTCCAAAATCAACCGACACATTTTTGCCACAATCCTTCGAAATTCTCCACTCATACAAAGAGGATTCTGGAGGATTTGGGACAGGTAGGGTTAAAAAGTAGAATGATAATATACAGCGTGTGTCAATAAAAACGCAGGATTAGAAACAAAAATATTAAGAATATAAACCACCCCTATTCATCATAATGTTAACCCTCTTTTCAAAGTACCTTTCCTTCTCTTCACTATGCTTTTTGTCCCATCTCATTTAGACAATCCTGTTCAGAGATAGAGTACATTGAAGAAGGGTTATAAATTCCAAGCTGGTCTGATTTGTGAAAGTATTTGTGGATCACAAAGAAGGACATGTGTGGCAGGATTAGGCTTACATAATCCTTTAGTCCACAATCAATGTTATTAGTCAATAATTCATGATGCTTTGAAACAATGATAGTCCAGTTATTAAATTTAAGTGATACTTATCATCAGTTGTTTCAAAGAAAGTTTTGTTCTGGTTTAATTGTCTTCAATGCATACTTACATTGTACATAACTGGTCGTTGTGTTAAGGTCATTGAATCAGACCAACCCGCTTCAGAAGGGCTTCACAAAACTTGTCATAACTTTTGAACCAAAAGTCCAACTTCCACCAAACAAAAATCTTGTCAAAGATGAAATTATGGACAATAAAGTCCTTATCAAATTAGGCACACCAGTAGCATAATTTTCTCAGAAAAAAAATCGCTTTGAATCCTGCGTTTTTATTGACACATGCTGTATAGCAGAATAGTTGTGCTACCCTGAATTTTGTGTGTGGGTGGAGACTGCTATCGATCCGTCACTGTTTTAAGCAAAATCTGCCAAATTGACGGGCAGTTTGCTGTGCTTCCTACCTACCGCTGCCATTTATAAATATTTACAGAGGCATGGTTGGACTGGAGAAAAACAAAACGATGCTTCATAACGAGATTTGCATCTCGCTTAAAATTGTTTTGATTCAGAGATACATGCTTTTTTAATCGTCTCTTTTAGGCTTCCCCGTCTACCATCCAGCAACAACACCAGGTCAACCAAGAAAACATGAAGAACACGCAGATTGGAGTCCAGATTGACACGCAGAATCTGACGGCAACCGAGGAATTCAAGTGTGCGGCTGAGGAGCTGTATCAGGTGCTCACGGACCCCCAGGTGAGAGAAGGATGCCTAGCGTGGATTGAAGATCAGGGCCCGTTTGCTTGGCTCTGCTTAACATAAGCAAAGATTCCCTTCTAAATATAGGATTTCCCCCCCCCCATGAAAAAAAACCTCACATCGTCCTCTTTTCACAGCTTTAAAAAAAATCTCGCAAATATGATACATATTTCGTCACAGTTTACAGTTTATGTTTTGGGTATCAGATTAAAGCCGAGAGCTTTTTCTTTCAAATACTGAACAAATCCTGAAAATAGCACTTTGGGTTGCTGAGTAAAGTATTCACTCACAAGTACTTCAAACAGTGAAACATTTTACTGTAAGCCCACTGTGCAATTATTTCTTTCGTATTTCGAAATATTTATGATGATGAAAAGGTTTACAATAGGACTGAAACGGATGAGATACCTGTTCAGGTTGAAAATAAAAGGTATTTTCATCAAATTCATTTGTACTCTTGTCATATTATGTGCCGTGTTGTTTGCAAGGATTAGGACATGCACAGATAGGTTACCGAGTACGAGACACCGGACTAAGATATGTTTAGAGTCATTAGTAATCCTGAGCTGAGCTCTCTAGAGACCTCGTAAATATCCATATTGGAGAGGATTTTTGTCGACGTCGGCCTTCTCTCCACAGACCACCTTTCAAGTTTGGTTGAGATTGATGACTGAACTTTACAGTGAAATGGAACACACACACACACAAGTGTGTATTTGCCTGCAATTGGGGACCCCCTATTGTCCCTCTTTTGTTTGTACTCTTTTTTTTTTAGGAAGACCTTCAATATGTTTTGTACATGAATCCAAATTAGGGACCTCTCAGGAATTGGGGACCCTATTGTCCTCTATTGTTTAACGTCCCCTATTGACGACACACAGAAGGAATACGCGATCGCAATATCCCCCTGTCTGGCTTGAAAGCCAGGGGATAAAAAGAAAGTTAAATTTGATTGAATTCGGCACAGCAGTAACATGCAGTTCAGGATATGTGAAAGTGTCCATCTTCCCTGTCTCTTTTGTACTGTCGGGGGGGTGAGTGGGGGTGAAGGGGGGGGGGGGGGGGGGGAGGAGGGGACTATTGGCGCATGGCATTTCATTGCCCCAGTGTGATCTTGTTATTGTATTTATTGTGTTTAATGTCTGCAGAGAGTTTCGGCATTCACCCAATCCCAAGCGGTTATGGAAGTGGAAAACGGCGGCAAGTTCAGTCTGTTTGGTGGCAACGTGACTGGAGAGTTTATATCATTGGTGAGTCAACCTAGTTTGTTGGCTTAAACAAATTTCAATTAATTGCTATTTAACTTGTTTTCTTGTTTAAATACATGTAGGTCGTATCTCACATTCATGCATACCGATCCATAGTCAACTTTTTTTTATTAATTAGCCGAGAAATGTTCAGGTACACATTGCACTTCAGTTTTTGTTTCGCCTAAACAAAGTTTTGGGGGACACTAACCAGTCCTTAATTCTGTATGACTGTAGACCCGTAGGTTAAAGTTTTGAAAATAATGTATAACTTCTACATGTTTTCATGGATTTTGATGAAACTTGGATGCAGTGACCCTTGGGTGAGAAGACACAAATCTTCATCGGATTACTGAGGTCAAAGGTCATGTAGGGGTCATTAGAGGTCATTGTTGTAATTTGCGTCAGAATTTGATGGATTTCAATGTAACTTGGATGGAGTGATCCTTGGGTGGGAGTTCATCACAAGTCTTCCAAAATCAGAGGTCAAAGGTCACCTAGGAGTCATTTGAGGTTGTTTAAAAATGCACAAAATTTCACTTTTTTTAAGAACACAAAACATATAGGGATCAACCACACAAAAAGGCGACACGTGCGGTCTGCGGATCACTTGTTTTATTTTTTTTATTTTATTATAATTTACCACCAGGATCGTGCTTCCCATAAAATTGTTCAGCGTTGGAGATTCAAAACCTGGCCAGAAGGTATGTATTCGAATTTAAAAATAAATTCTAAAATTAACTGAGAAATAAAAAAGAGGTAAAATAAGGCTCTCTCACTACCCAGTCTACATCTTCCCCTTAAAAACTAGTTTGTCAACTTTCAACCCCTCAGGGCACTAATATCGACTATCCACCCTCAAACCATGTAATATTTGAACACTGATAGGTACACCTCTATAAATCATCCAAAAAGTGTCGCCTTTACAGGGAAGAAATTACGGTCTAAAACTGTCACAGAAAACAGGGCGAGTCAGAGTGATTTGGACCCTAGTTCACCAGTTTTTTTTGTGGCAAATAGAGTTTTTTGAGAAAAACTGAGTTTTTCATATGAGTTGTATTACCTTGTCTCACACAGGAATTTTGAATGTTTCAAATTAGTGGCTGTGGTGAGGAGTTATGCCATTTTCATTGAAGTGGCTCATGTTCCAGTCTGCACACGGAATTGATTTTGCCTTTATTTTAAAAATGTGTCAATTACTTCAAGTGAGTCAGTCACCATGACTAGGTTTTTATTTGTTATTACACTGCTTCACATCAGTATGCGATTTTCAAGTAATTTGTTGAACCATGGAACGCATGGTCAGAGTGTTTTTTAGTGTGTGTTCTTTGCTAGCGCTTTTCTTCAAAATGGTACCATGGGTATACATGAAACTTTCACCAAACAAGTCCAAAATACCAGCCTATAACATATCTCATTTGCACTTGTTTTGATAATTGCTACATATTTTAAATATTTTCTTAAATTTGGTTCCAGATCATTCTGACTCGCACTGTATTTTAGGAAAAGTAACGAGTGTCTTTTGTTCTTGTTCACAGCCCACTTCTCAACGGTCACCATCAAGTTGACCCAGAAGAGCGATTGCACCAAACTGACCCTGAACCAGACGGGCATCCCCGTAGCCGACTATGACAGGACGAAAGCCGGCTGGATAAACTACTACTGGCACGCCATCATGGCCACGTTTGGCTATGGGGCTCAGCTCTTTTGATGTCAGTTACAACCGGGATCCGGGCCCAATTTCGCGGCGCTGCTAAGCACAAAAATGTGCTTTGCACAAAAAAAAAAGTCTGGCTTATAATCAGCCAAAACTCATGTGATTTTCATGCTAAGCAAACAACAGCTGAATACTAATCAAGAGCAATATACATCACATGGAGTTTTGGCTGGTAACCTGCTTTTATAAGCCAGACTTTTACTGTGCTGAGCAGTTTTTGTGCGTAGCAGCGTCGTGAAATTGGTCCGTGATTGTGGCAGACGATCATGTCAAAATCATGAATATTTATTTGTACAAAATACAAGTCCTCACTGTCGACATATTGCTGTGAATGTTGTGCTAGTTCTCAGGTATTGTTTGAACTTAGAGAGAAACCGTGGGGTTTTTACAGCTGGAAAAAAAATGTGGACAGAATGAAAAGAAAGCATTACAATTTACAACATTTAAACGAGTGAAGGTTTGTGGTCACACCATTTGGACAAATCTCGTTTGATGTGTGTGGTTCTGAAAAGAACCCGGTTGGTTGTGAAGTCAACGTTCCGATCAGTATGCTCTGATCATCTTCAGGAGGGCTACGAAGATGATCAGAGCATACTGATCAAAACGTTGAGTTTACAACCAACCAGTTCTTTTCTTTTTCAGAACTACACACCTCAAAAGAGATTCTCCCACATGGTGTTATCGCAAAGCCTCATGGCGGTTTATACTACCGCCATGAAAAGTTTCCAATCTTATTTTCAACATATTGAAAATATTGTGAATTGATGACTATTGTAAAATCAAAATTGTTGACCTCAACTTCCATTTCATCGATCACGCAAATGACAATTCGGGCGATTCACAATGCAGTGCGCCACCAAGAGTTTGCCACGGGGAGTTCATTTTTACCAGTGCATTGTGGGAGATAGTCGACAAACTCGCAGCGCGGGACTCTTGAAATTGTTAGTTTTTCCGGTCAGTAGTTTCGTAAGCGTATGATTCGAGTATATGTTTGCCCTTTTTTTTTCTGTTTATCAATATGGTGTTTTGTGTAAGGCAGCAGAACGCTATGCCCCAATCTATAACAAATTAGCTCAAATTGTCTACTGACACCCGTTCAAATGAGCCTGTGACTGTGAACTTGAAAAATGGATTCTTCACGGCAAACTCTTGGTGGCGCAATGCATTGTGAATCGCCCGAATTGGGTAAATTCAAACGTGGGAGTCTGTGACTACACTCGTCAGTGTTTTGTGCCAAGACGTTCAAAGAAAAAGCGAACGTGGACCAGCGAGACTTGCACGTTATATTGACCATCCTTACACTTGTATCTCCTGACCATATATTATTGTTTACATCGGTGAACTTTTTATCAATTACTGTAACACTATCCTTATCCTGTGATGTTCCTCAACCCATCGCATAGTCACAGAAGAATTGGGGGTTTCCCCGTATCTATGTGGGATTTATAGTGATTACAGGAAGATTTTTTTAGATTTTTAAAAATTAAACAAAGGCAAAAGTATTAAGATTTATAGATAACACTGTCAATACTACATTGCACACTTTGCAAAGTATTATATTTCTTAACTTGTACAGTAAAAGTCAGGCGAAGCTGGTCGAGCACCGTTATAGAACAATTTGAATAGGAGTAAAACTGATTAAACATCGTGAATATATTGAAGGCTCTGTTAATCATGCCACCTTTAATATGCAAGAATGATCTTTATGAAAAAAAAATGTAAAAGATACTAGCGCGATATGTTGCTGAATACACACACTGAAATTACTACTTGATGTCTGCAGTGTTTATAATTAATAAAATTGAGTGAATTTTTTTTCAGTTGCAGATTCTTTTTACTTTAATTTTTAATATAACGCATTAATTCCCGGAAAATATGTGATTCACGAACAGAGGCTCATATATACTGTATACCGAGAATGGAATGTGTGTCAGTTTTAGTTTAATGGGATTTTTTTAACTGTTCAATATTTTTTGGAAATAAAACATTTGACAAACATGAGGAATAGAAACAAACAGGAAACGACAGTGGTGTGTGTTACTGTACATGTACTGTTTTATTTGATGTGTTCAATTTCGTCCGCACATTCATCCTACATGCAAAGACACGTTCCATCTTCAAAGAAGAATGCACTGGAGTCAATAATGAAAATAATAATGTGGTGCTTATATAGCGCTTTATAGCAAAGGTCTTGAAGCGCTTAAAGGGAAGATACATTTGCAAACATCACAAAACGAAATGATCAAACTATCACAAAATACCAAACTGGATTGTTAGGGAATGACAGTCTAAAAGCATCCTGTAAAATCGTGGCTCCTGGTGTGCTGACATTTTCAAGAAAAATGCTATTTTTCCAACGCTGGTCGGCCGACCAGCGTTGGAGAAAACTGGCTTTTTTTCAAAAACTGCTCCTAATTTTTCATGATTAGTTATTCCGCGTTTTCTTTGCAATTGATTACACAACTGTGAAGAGGTACAAGCCTGCTAGACTGATTCTCTGACCTTACAATTCCCCAAAGTCTATAAATTCTCCCTTTCATTTTAAACGGGGTCAGGGAACCAGACTACAAGAACATAACTGGTTTTCTTGGTTTTTCCAGCATCTACTAGCCCAAAACGTGAAACAAGTCATTTTAACAATATTTGCTTTAACATACTAATCCTCCAAATCGATTTATTTCTGAAAAGTGCAGCAAAAGCAAATGTTGTACTTTCCCTTTAACAAGTTTTCCCCTCCCCCCTCCCCCCTCCCCCAACCGGATATGCCACTATTTAGTCAACCAGGGTGTTGAGGAATCACCACAAAGAGACTTGGATTGTATTTGCTGAAATGGCACCTTTAGACCTCTATGATGTTAAATTTTAAGCCGGCCTCAGGTCGACCCTCGGTTTGCTTGCACTGGGCGGAACCATTGGCATCTAGCACAAAAGTCAGGCTAAGGTCACAAGACCGAGAAGTCGTGTGATTACCGTCGAACAAGCAGCATCTCGACACACAATAATCGCAACCACGCCACGACAATTCACAATGAAATTAGACGATCTGGTTGTGCAGCGTGCGCATGATGTTGAACTTTACATAGGTCCACTGCGATTGATTCCCACCAGTCGGGAACACGTTCAGTCACGCAGAACTTGAAGTTTTTCTACTCTTGCGACTGTTGATTTTTTTCAAGCGCTGGCTGATGCCAATCATTAAAATATCATCGCAGTTACACTCGGGTAAATGTTCCCGATGGTCGTAGCTCAGGCGCAGCTTGACCCTGAAAAGCTAGTTCCAAACTGGTCTGCGTCATTGCAAGGTCAACCCGAGTGCGGCTTTGTGAAGGCCTTTGCTGATGACATCTGGGATTGTCTGTCTTGCTGATAATGCATACGGCTGTACTCAGGCAAAGTTACGCAATATGAAATCATTCTCCTGTTAAGTGTCAACTTGTCTTCTCTACTTGTTCCTTCGTTTCATTCTCACAACTGTCCGGGTTAGGTGTCGACCTCCATTTGTCTCTCCGACTCGCATATCCCTCTAGCGCATCGGTAACCAGACCAATCCTGAGATTGGGCAATACGTCCTCCAGCATGCAGGCCATTACTCTGGCGTGGGGAACTCCCGGGAGATCGCTCATGTTCATTCTCTCCAGATTACTGCAAAATCAACATGGAATAAAAAAAAACACCCAAAAATAAAGGTTGCTTAGGGCTCATCTCAATTCATATCCAGGACGAGTTCTGGACAAGTCACAGATATTGCATCGGGTATATAAGTTGCAGGATTCTGAACAACTTCCCCGCAATCTTCCCGCAATCTTCCCGCAATGAAGTTATCAGTATTGGTGAGTCAAACAGTTGGTAATGAAAATTTCCCCGGAACATGTCTGGGACAAATGATTGACATATGAATGATTCTACTACTAGTGGGGCGCTGTGGTCCAATGGTTACGGTGTTCGACTCGTGTGCCGTGGTACATGGGTTCGAATCCTGACCGTGGGAACATGGTGCTTGTGCTCTTGAGCAAGGCACTTTACCATTATTGCTTCGCCCTTCGGATGGGACGTAAAGCCGTAGGTCCCGTGTGTTGTGTAATGCACGTTAAAGAACCCAGTAACACTTATCGCTAAGAGAAGGGGTTTGCCCCGGTGTTTCTGGCAGTGGCTGCAATATGCGCCGCAGCACCTTGTAAACCCTTATAAGGTGCTACATAATGGGTCTCATATTTCTCATAAACTTTATTTACCTTTCTTTGATAATTGACATAATTTCCAGCGCCTTGAGTACCTAATTGTTGGTAGATACGTGCGCTATATAAGACTCTGTTATTATTATTATTACTTGTCCAGAACTCGTCCTGGATTACGCATGAACAGATTCGCTGATTAATTAGGCCTCTTGACCTCCTAGATTTTGACCAATCAGTGAGTGCTTTCTATATCGGGTCTTCAGTCATTCACCCGTTGCGCATCATAGACAATGGATACAAAAAAATGTGTCATTATGCGATACCGCGCCCGGCTGTTGTTGTTTCACAAAACACTGCATTTGAATTGACCAAACAAACCATTTAGTCCTGATTTAGGAATGAAATGATGTCACAACTTGGTATCAAAACGTGTGCCAGACTTGAAGCTAGAATGTCATGAAAGGTCACGGCAAGAAACACTCATTTGGCAAAAATATTGCTAGAAAAGTGCAGGGGAGAGGGGGGGGGGGGGGGGTTGGCCTCAACCACCCCCCAGGCCTTTTAGGGTTAAACAACTCCACAACATAAGTGGATTTGTGGACTTGTTGACTACCTGAGGTGATGCAGGCTGACTAGTCCACATTCTGTAACCTGCGGACACTTGTTGATGTTGAGATGTGTGAGTGAATCCTGCAGGTGTACCAAGCGACCCAGGCAGCTATCGTCAATGTAGGGACACCCCTCAAAACTCAGGAACTTCAGCTTCTTTAGTTTTACTGTAAGGGTGAGCATACAATAGCGTAAAATAAATGACTTTTTTTTGGCTCTCGTTGTCAGTATCGTTAAAAGCATTTTTGAGGGTGTTTTTAATAGCATTTCTGAGGTTGTTTCAGGGACACTCAATTTTCAGTAATCAATATAGCAGGAAATCTAATATCAAGAATATTCGATATACCGATTATCCCATGTAATAAAAAGACCAAAAAGATGACACTTTGATAACAAAAAAGAAGACAATCTTAAGTCCCAATTTTCCACAGCTTTATCTGGAGCATGTAATTGCTCAAACGTTTTATAACAAATCTCAGTACTGACAGTTTTGTCCAGAACGGGCGGTTTCTTTTGACTTCGTTGAAGACTTAATTAAGACTTTTTAAAGATTTAATTAAGACTTTTTTGGGGAACACTGCGCATTTTCGTTTACAAAACAACAGGAGGTGGTGTCCTGACATTTGGCGCGCAGTTTATTGATAATTTGGGCTTCACATTGGCGTAGCCAGGATTTTTTTCAGTTGGGGGGGGGGGCACAAAAACCTCCCAAGGGACTTATCATTTTTGGAACTACAGTGCATTTCGTGGGGTTTTTGTTTGTAATGCAGTTACTCTCCCCGGGGAGATGACACTTATTCCCCGGGAGATGACTCTTCTACCAGTTTATGTTAGCCTGTTGGGGCTTATAGTTACTTATTTCGTGTCCCTTGCACTTGCATTGCTTTAGGGGTTACTGTATTTGCAACCATTTAAACATTACTCCTCCCCACTTTTCGAGCCCCAACACACATACACCCTAGCCAATAAAGATTGGGTTTATATAACCGACATACAGATCCTTGTCATTTGATTGGTGGAACTCACATCACGTGACATTCGTTATTGCCCCCATTCACGCCGCGGTTCAAAAAGTACTATCCGCCCATGGGGAATGGGAAATACTATTGAACAGTTAGGATCATTCTTGTTCCATGACGCAGTATTTGTGTGCAAATGCATGCTGGTGTGCGCGTTCAGCGTTGCGCGTAGCGCGTATTGTTCCAAAGAGCCAGCGCTACAGCGTTGGGTTCAAACATTTTCGTGAAGGGGTGGTTTGGAAGAGAGAAATACATTTTCCTCCAGTTTTGTATTGAAATAAAAATTCAAATATATCAAATGACAAGGATCTATATGTCAGTTATATAAAACAAATATTGAGTGGCTTTAAATTGTGAAATGGGAGGAATATTATCGCTCGGTAAAATCTGGACTTTTCCAGTTCACTCAGCTTCGCCTCGTGAAATGGAAAAGTCCAGATTTTACCTTGCAATAATATTCCTCCCATTTCACCCTGAGCCACTCAATATTTGTATAACATGCAGCTAGTAATTAATATGCTCCATGAAGATGAAATACTCTGTTAAGTAGTTTTGAGAAATTAAAGGATATCTACTTCCAAAATTTTATTTTGGGACACCCTGTTACTGAGACCCCCCTTCCCAGACACCACTTACTTATTTGCGCCATGCCGTGATAGTCTATCAACGTTCCTTTGGCATCGATTGCGTCAATGTGGTACTTCATGAGTTCCCTGACGGGCCGCTTCTCTCTCATTCCTCTTACCTCCGACGTGTACCACTTGCCGTTGGTGAAATGCACCTTGGCCTTCATACTGATCAGCCACAAGTAGGTGGCAATCTCGGGCGGGAATTTGCTGGCTTCGTTTGGCCGTTCCACTCTGCGGACATAATATGGAACAAAGAACAGCCGCAAATTGAAAAATGAAAAAAACAAAAAACGTCATATTAATGACCAACCAATGGACGCTTTACTGAGAATACTGCAAGTTGTGGAAGTTTTAAATAAGTATACAAAATCACTTTAGTAAGTTGTCAAATCATACAGATGGACCCCAGCCTCCTGTCCTCTCTATCATGGTGACCGTTTTAGCTCATTTTCAGCTAGATCTGACAGATTTTTTTGGACAAAAAAAAAACCCGAATCTAGCAGAAAATCTACATGTAGAGGAATGAACATTTTAGCAGATTTCTGGCAGAATTCTGTAAAATCGGTGATCCCAGCAGAAAAATATACCAGATTTGTTTTGAACAAGCTTTAATCACTTCAAACAAACCCGTGAACAGTGGGGATAGGCAGGCCAGTAAACCGTTGTTGTTCCCCGACGTGTATGACTACACAGTAAAGTACTATAGACATTTGAAGCCAGACTAGACGCGCGCCAAGTTTAAAAAAGAAAAATATTATCTAATTTTTTTTAGAGGAAACTGTATGATTGTTTTTTTGGTAAATAAAATTTTTATAACATCTGCATGTGAGTTTAAAGGGAAGATACAACATTTGCAAACACCACAAAACGAAATGATCAAATTATCATGAAATACCTTACTGGATTGTTAGGGAATGACAGTCTAAAGCATCCTGTAAAATTGTGGCTCCTGGTGTGCTATCATTCTCAAGAAAAATCGTATTTTTCCAACACTAGTCGGCCGACCAGCGTTGGAAAAAACTGGCTTTTTTCAAAACCTGCTTCTAATTTTTCATAATTAGTTATTCATTGTTTTCTTTGCAATTGGTTGCACACCTGTGAGGGGGTACAAGCCTGCTAGACTGATTCTCTGACTTTACAATTCCCAAAAGTCTATAAATTGCTCCATTTCATCTTAAGTGGGGTCGGGGAACCAGACTACAAGAACTTGATTGGTTTTCTTAGTTTTTCCAACATCTACAAGCCCAAAACGTGAAACAGTCATTTTAACAATATTTGCTATAACATACTAATCCTCCAAACCCATTTATTTCTGAAAATTGCAGCAAAAGCAAATGTTGTACATTCCCTTTAAGTGTTTATAATGTGTTTCGTGTAATTCTGTGAGATCTAGCAGATTCTTATTAAATCTAGCAGCTTTTTGAAGTACAGCTAGCAGAATTGTGCCATTTCCATACGGTCAACCTGTCCTGTACATTATCATTATTCCGTATGAAAAAAAACATGGCAAAACGAGTGTGTGATCTGCACAAAGGTACTTACATATTCAGCTGAAACTTCTTGAACTCCTTAAATCGCTTGGGGATCGTACGCATGTAGTACAGCAGGGACATGTGCCGGTATTGAGAATATGTCAACTGGCCTGCTGCTGGCCTCAACATCGACCCAGGACTCCGCAACGCATCGACAGACCCACGACCACATGCACAGGGGCAGACTGAGGCTTGGGTGGTCTGCAGAGTCCGTACACTCAAAGCCATCAGGCATGTCCTCAACTTCAACATGGTGGGTGGTGTCACAGAGCAGATTGGTGGAAAGATGTCTAGCTTTTAAACCACTGATGACTGTTGATGAGCTGAAGAAATAGTGAGAGAGTTATCTTGACGACACTCTGATGCAGTTTTAGTGGGAGTTGGAAGTATTTTCAAACAAACTTGGAAATACTTCTTTGGGAAAGAATGTTGCATATATGATCCTGATGCCACTTATTTTTATCTTATATTATCTCAATGAAGGTCAGTCATTGCAAAAATGTTGAAAAAGCATGAATCTTGGACTGAGATATGTTTCCAAGTTTGTCAAAAAATACTTTGAAAATGCACTTGACTCTCCATAGACTTCGTAAACAGCGAAAGTATGAAGCACGCTGCACACAAGACCTATGTGCTAAGCAAAAAGTCTGTCGAGGCCATTTGCTGAGCACGTAGCTCACCGTGTGCGGTGAATTTTTGCTGTGTTTTCTGCCTTGCGAGGTCGTGAGGCCAATTTCCATCCTGTTTGATTTCTTTCGCCTCTCGCGAGGCGAAAATCTCACCGTGTTCGGCAAACCTGAGCTACGTGGTGAGCTAAAAACATTATACTAACCAATGAAATCACATACTCTGTACAGGTGATTGTGAGATATTGTTGTGCAAATCTTCTACAGCCTGCTCGGACGTTTGTTACCAATTTTTTAAAAATTACCCGAACGACAAACAAAAACGATGTGCTTTCTTCGGTTAGTTACGTTACGCCTGCTAATCTGTTTAGCTCAGCACATAACTCAAGCACCTGGAGGGGGGGGGGGGGATAAGGGGGGTATTTCCCCCCCCCCCAAATACTTTGTAAAGACTGCCCTTTTTCATTCAAATGTCCTTTTCTCTCTAGCACTAATAATCCCCCCCCCCAAAAAAAATATTTGTAAAGAGTGCCCAAGCTTATTAGTGTGCATAATTTTCTCTTTTGAAGTCTACGGTGCTTTTGAACAGCGCCACCTATAAACAGACAGTACCAGCCCCCCCCCTGGCATGCCCGGCCCCCGCCCCCGCCCCCCCCCCCCCCCCCCCCCCCAACACACACACAATTTAGGGCCTACTTATTCTTACTTTGCTACGCCGCTGAAAAGTGATTGAAAAAAGTGACGTACGTGTAGGGAAATCTTTCCTACAACTCGGCAGAAAGTCTTTAGATGCCTGGTGAACTGGATAAAAATCGCCATATAAAGGGGTTTTGGCAGCGCAAAAAGTACAATTATTTCATACCTGTCGCGCTCTCGGACGATGGCCTCAAAATTACAGGGCGCCCTCTATTGTATTCGTGAAAAGAAGCCGGGGTTTACATAATCCACAATCTACTCGTCAGTGTCGTCACCTACGCTGCACCTCTTCGTTAGAAAGTTTCAGGTAATATTATTACCATATCCTTTAAAAATGTACTTTTGTGCTCCATTTAACTTTATTGGTGCCTTTATTGGTAACTTTGGTGCCTTTTCTGTTTTAATGTTAATATGAATTTCCATACGTTGATATTCATGAGCAAAAGTGTGATGTCATGTCAGGCAGTAGCCCCACTAGTGTGGCCGTCGGTATGCTGCGCTTTGGTTCAGCGCAGCATACCGACGGCCACACTAGTGGGGCTAGTCAGGCAGAAACTTAACCTCAGTGTTGCAGCTATTCAGTTCAGCATCCAAAGTTGCCAGAATTTTAGATATTTTGCTGTTGTAAATTTTCTTTTCTTTGGCGATTCCTTGAGGTGTCAGTACATGACAGAAAGCCAGTGAGCACTCTTTCTTCAGAAATGTTTTCAATGAGGCAATGTTTGGGTTCACAATTTGAACAGAAAACCTCAAACTAGTAAACAGTGTCTTCCTAAAAATGACATCACACCAACCATGCCCTTAGTTGTCTGAAAAGCATGGAAAGATTTTAATGTTTTAAAGAAGTGTACTTTTCAATACTGTGGCGGGAATATCTGTGACCCGATCCGTAGTCCCTTTACCCAGACAACCTAGCTTAGGATCAATACCCCAGCAGCCGGGAATGCAGGCCCGTTTGGATGGAAATATACCGCCCTATACGCGTAGCAGCACTCACCCACGCCCCTCAACCTCAAAGATGGACAATGACAGACAATAAGTACACAACAGTCAATGACCTCAATTACTGATTGATTTATTTACACAGAATCAATGTCATATGATGGACCTCTCGTTAAATTATAATGTTAGCTTCTAATAAGTGATTGGTCTCTGAGCCTCTCAATTATCTCTGTAGGGGTAGCCTCGCATTAGCCGCTACGGTAAGGCAGTGCTGGGCAGCACGGCGATGCCTGGCTGGGGATAGCCTCTGAATCCCGGGTAAGAACCGTACGCCTCTAGCGTTCCTGTGCGCCTCCACTCTCCCGCCCTCCACCGTTTCCAGTCGCGAGCCTTCCTCGAGGCGGCGGGTAGATGAGCGCGCCCTTCCGGCTCCGTCACGTTACAATCGGCAGATCGCTGTATGTCGCTCCGCCTCCAGTAGCCTCCGCGGACTCCGTGCCTCCTTATGCCAGCCTGACTCCACCGCACCACCCAGCACGCCGTCAGCGCGCGTAATAGCGTGAGCTCTTATGAGGGCTGTGTCTCCGTCTGCGTCTTCAAGAACGTCTCCTCTAGCAACTGCCCCGCGGCCTCTTATATAGGGGCCTGCAGCCGCTAGCGCGCCCTCTTTGGACTCTGCCGCTATAGTAATTTTCGCCACAAAGCCTCCTTCTTAGCATGAACGTCCTCGTTCATAACAGCTAAAGACCTGAGATTCAAAGCAAATTACTATAAAAATCCTTATCTAACTTTTAATCAAAACGACGACCAGGTCCATAACTTCAACAAGTCGGCGCCTCTTTATACATGCGCCTTATAAAAGAAATATAGTTGACTTAAGTTTATAAACTTTAATAAAACTGTATAGGAAACTTTATGAAACCTTTTTGGCAAACGTTAAAGAAAACTTATATAAAGGTTATAGAAAACTCTGTATAAACTTAAGAAATGATGGCTTAGAGAAACGAGCCTAACTCATAGGAACCCGTACGAAACATGTTGCCTCTGTGACCTCTCGGATGCGCTGTTACTTCTTGCGGAAATCTTGGTCGAACTGGACATCGTACACCCTCTCCAACCGCTGCTCACGAACTTTCACACCCTCCTTGTACTCGAGGGTGGTCGACACCTCCTTCACTCGGGTAACCCTGCCCCTCAGTACCTCTTCCAGGGATGTCACGTGGATTGGGCGCAGATCCTCTCGGATGTGCGCAGCTGCTCCGTTGTTGGGTGCTGCCTCAGCCGCCTCATGTTGTTGCAACTCTTCCGCCTCCTCTTCACTGCTCTCCACGTGGTCCTGCTGGGGCATAAGGAGCATCCCCCGAGGCTTACCACCAAGTGGCTTACGCACTGGGGCTGGCACTTCCGGTGTCTATGGTGTGTTTCACCCTGTCAGTCCTCCCTAGGTCGTGGTCTCCTCTGGAAAATACATCCGAGAACTCCGACAGCAACCCAGCGACGGCGTAATGATAGCGTGTATCTAGCCCTTCAACGCTTCGCTTCCAGAGGTCATGAAGGTGTCCAGGGACATGTACATCTTCCGTTCCTTTTTCCATAGCCTCCTGGCGTGAACTCTCCTCCATTGAACGCTGGAGCTCATCCTCCCTTCCCTGGAGGTCCACTCGGAGACTGTCAACCTCCTCCTGAAGTTCCGTAGCAGTCTGGTCTGTCATTATGAGTTTGTGTCTTCGTCTTAGTTAAATTAGGGGTCCTATTTATTGATAATTGTCCTCGCCTCCCCCGAATGGGGGCGTGGGTTCGAATCCCACTTCTGACACCATTTGTGGCGGGAATATCTGTGACCCGATCCGTAGTCCCTTTACCCAGACAACTTAGCTTAGGATCAATACCCCAGCAGCCGGGAATGCAGGCCCGTTTGGATGGAAATATACCGCCCTATACGCGTAGCAGCACTCACCCACGCCCCTCAACCTCAAAGATGGACAATGACAGACAATAAGTACACAACAGTCAATGACCTCAATTACTGATTGATTTATTTACACAGAATCAATGTCATATGATGGACCTCTCGTTAAATTATAATGTTAGCTTCTAATAAGTGATTGGTCTCTGAGCCTCTCAATTATCTCTGTAGGGGTAGCCTCGCATTAGCCGCTACGGTAAGGCAGTGCTGGGCAGCACGGCGATGCCTGGCTGGGGATAGCCTCTGAATCCCGGGTAAGAACCGTACGCCTCTAGCGTTCCTGTGCGCCTCCACTCTCCCGCCCTCCACCGTTTCCAGTCGCGAGCCTTCCTCGAGGCGGCGGGTAGATGAGCGCGCCCTTCCGGCTCCGTCACGTTACAATCGGCAGATCGCTGTATGTCGCTCCGCCTCCAGTAGCCTCCGCGGACTCCGTGCCTCCTTATGCCAGCCTGACTCCACCGCACCACCCAGCACGCCGTCAGCGCGCGTAATAGCGTGAGCTCTTATGAGGGCTGTGTCTCCGTCTGCGTCTTCAAGAACGTCTCCTCTAGCAACTGCCCCGCGGCCTCTTATATAGGGGCCTGCAGCCGCTAGCGCGCCCTCTTTGGACTCTGCCGCTATAGTAATTTTCGCCACAATACATTTAACCTAAAAAAGGATGTCAAAAAGAGTTCATATACTTTTAAGAGGAGTAGAAAGTTGTACAAAATAGGTTCCGGAGTAAAATTCATGTCGTGGACCCTTTAGATTTTGCTTTCTGTGAGCTGGTCAATGCCTATATGGGCTCCGTGCACCAACGAAAGAGGGCGCCCTTTTACCTAGCAACGAGTCAACGACGTCCCATTGGCGGGACATTAAGCTGGTTGACTTGCACCGTTCCTTGTGTGTGACGCACGTACACCAGGGGATTTGTACCATGTACAAGCAGTGTTACGGCAGTGACTGCGCGTCGCGGCAAAATTGCAGTCAAACGAGATGGCAAAGGTCGGTCACCCCCAACTGTACTTTCTTTGCCGGTGAGGGGGTACTTGTGAACGGAGCGGATATACGTCGTGCCAACTCATACGCAGTCAATTAAATCATACACTTTACCAACTCGAATGCGAGCCAACTAGTATCGAAACTCAAATTTTGTGTAAATTTATATTGCAGGGGAATCGTTTATGATGGTGTCTGCTGGTGTGGTTGCCTTGGCAACCAGTGCATCAATTCTGTCCGTGTGTCTGGCAGCTTTTATCCTTGCTGTAGTGTTTCTGCACTATCAGCATCACAAGTACCGTCATATTCCAGGGCCAAAAAGAAAAAGGTTTGTACCCATGATAAATGACTTGAATTTGTCTTCCATTGTGCATAATTAAAAAAAATTGGCTAGACTGATGTTATATTTTAGGCTGCACTATACAAGTAGCGCATACGGTTGGGGGGGGGGAGGGGGTGGGGGGGCCTCGGGGGCTTATAGGTTGTCAAATTTTAACTTTATTTTTGTCATTTTTTTTTTTATTAAGGCCAAAAAAAAAATAGTTTTGCTTCCAGTTTCCCTACCTAACCTTTTCTGACAGCCCCTACCCTAATTTTTTTTTATTGGAAAAATGAGAAAATAACACCCAAAGCCATCAATGTCTACCTTTTTACCCTTGAATACACGCAGAAGCTTCCATATGATCGTACACAAAAAAAAAATGGGGAAAAAAAATTTCCCTACTTACCCTATTTTCAAATGCCATGTTATCATAAGCAGAACAATTTGTTTTTTGGCCTAACTACCCGGTAGTCTTTTGGCATGTTTTTTAGTATCTTAAGTTTTGGGACTCTCATACACAGTATTTAGAGTCCCAAATTTTCAGACTACCGTACTGAGCTGATAATACATGATAGCATCCTCAAAGTTTAGCCGTCACTGTGATGTCTTTTATTTTGACAGCTTTTTCTTGGGAAATATTCAAGATTTCAAGGACCGTGTAGCTGAAGGCGGACTGTTTGAGGATGTCGTCAAGGACTGGTGAGTATAGGCCTATTGTGAAATAACCCAAACCGGAGTTTCAATTTAAAATGCTCTCCTAGGCCTTGTGGTCTTTAACAAATTAAATTATTTTCTTCCGTACAAGTTTTCAAGTTTTACGTTTTTTTCAATTAGGCGAAATAAAAAAAAAAAGGTTAAACGTCCCCACCCGTTTCTTTTTTTGGAGGCCGCCTCCTTTTTTTTTTTTAAAGTGAAAAAATGATAAATTTTCAACAGTGACATCATTTTGGCCTCTTTGTCTGTTGCATCTAGCCCATATAAAGCTGGTATGTCATTTCCTGAGTTCAATGGCAGCCATTAAAAAAACCAAAAACTGGCGGCCATCTTGAAAAATAGCCTGGTCCGGCGACCATTTTGGAGGGTGAAAAAAAAAGGCCTCCCGCTTCCTTTTTTTCAAAAAGGCAGGACGCTACAGTTTTTTTTTTATTTCGCCTAACTCTTTGGCACCACAATATATCAGTGCTTTGTTAAAATACGTCATGACTTGACAAATTTCCTTTGGCATTCACTTTTGTGTTAAGTACCGGTATGAACCAGCCAGGTATTTGTTTGAGTGATGAATGTATTCCAGATTCAATTTTTTTCCATATTGCATGGACTGATTATATGGAAAGCCGGTTATTTTTTGAGCTTGAAAAATAACATGAGGTGATTTTCCCTTTAAAAAACCCAGGGCCTTTTCATACCAGGCTTTTGATGTTTATCTTTCACTGAGTCCAGTGGTAACATTTTCTGGTTAATCCCTTAAAGGGAATGTACAACATTTGCTTTTGCTGCAATTTTCAGAAATAAATTGATTTGGAGGATTAGTATGTTATAGCAAATATTGTTAAACTCAGACTTGTTTCAAGTTTTGGGCTTGTATCCTGGAAAAACCAAGAAAACCAATCGGACAATGATAGACCTTAAGGAATTATAAGGTCAGAGAATCAGTAGTCTTGTACCCCTTCACAGGTGTGTAATCAATTGCAAAGAAAATGCGGAATAACTAAACAGGACAAATTAGGACCAGCATTGGAAAAATACAATTTTTCTTGAGAATGTCAGCACACCAGAGCCTTGATTTTACAGGATGCTTTAGACTGTCATTCCCTAACAATCCAGTAAGGTATTCCGTGATAATTTGATCATTTTGATTTTTGATGTTTGCAAATGTTATAACTTCCCTTTAACCCTAACCGCCCTGAATCCTCCAAAATCCTTTTTGCAAAGTGGAGGAATTTGCAGGATTGAGGTTACATGGCAAAAGTGCGTTGCTGATTTCGGAGTACGCACTGTGTCAAGGTCTTAGGCCGGACCTTGTGTTATTTATGCTCCGCCATGCATAAATTTAGTCCTTGATTATACTTGACATCCTCCGCACTGCTCCAGGATGTCACTGGCTCAGCCTCAGCCTATTGACAGTCATAGCCGGAGGATTTTGCAGGATTCAGGCAGTGGTCACCCCTCCATGGACCATATTCAAGAAATAACAGAGGAATTTGCAGGATTGAGGCTATGTGCTATTTTGCCATGAGGCCAATTGGAGGATTTTGCAGGACTGAGGCTACATCCTAGCAAAAAGGCCTAGGGAGTTAGGGTTAAGGCATTTAGTTGCACCACAGGAGGCCAGTCCAAATGGTACTGTCTACTTCCTGCTGGATCTACCTTTCTGAAACCCCATACATGTTGCATGGACAGGCACAGTCCGACAAATTCATGATTTCCGTTGTTTGTGCATCAACTTCAATGATCAAAAAAAGAAAACATGGTTTCATTAGTACTGGACAAAAACGACTATTATGTTGGATATTGAATTCGTGAAAAATCTAGGTTCGTTTAGGCCACTGAAGATCGATTCAGGTATTCTGGCAAGCCGTTCAGTCAAGCGGTACTAATCAGTCCCTGCTGGTGGTAGGCATTCATCTGGTGCTAAAACTGCCTTAAGGATCCAGATAAACCCTGGAGATAAGAGAGATCGCTAACCCTGGTCAGAAAACCCGAACTGAATGGCCCAATTTTGGTTTTACTTTTAAAGGGAATGTACATCATTGGCTTTTGCTGTAATTTTCAGAAATGAACTATTTGAGGGGTTAGTATAATAGATCAAATATTGTTTAACTGACATGATTGAAGTTTAGTGTTTTGAAAATGCTTGAAAAAGCAAGAAAAACAAAAATGTTTAAGTAGTCTGGTTCCCTGACTCCACTAAAGATAAAATGGATCAATTTATAGTTGTCGAAAAATTGTAAGGTAAGGGAACCAGTCTAGCTGGCCTGCACCCGTTCATGAACATGTAACCGATAGCAAACAAAATTTGGACTGAAAAAAAGGCAAATTTGGAGCAGTGGTTGGCCGACCACCGTTGGAAATTTATACAAAAATACCACTTTTCTTGAAAACAACTTCACGCCAGGGACCATAATTTCACAGGATGCTTTAGACTGTCATTTACCAACATCCTAGTAAGGTATTTCGTACAAATTTGGTAGTTTGATTTTTCGATGTTTGCAAATGTTGTATAGTCCCTTTAAGGATCCAGATAAACCCTGGAGATAAGAGAGATCACTAACCCTGGTCAGAAAACCCGAAATGAATGGCTCAATTTTGGTTTTACTTTTAAAGAGGATATTCATGGCATGATCATGTTCAAATCTTCTTGTAATATGTTGCAGATAAATGCAACCCATAGGCCTAATGTTTGCTTATAATACACACTGACTTGTTTCTACGTTTTGTACATGGTAGGAGCGATGAGATTGGGCCAGTTTGCATCGTTTGGTTGTTTCACCGATGTATGGTCTACTTCCATGACACCCGGGCCATTAAGGTATGTAGGACATTTGAACCGTATATGGTTGGTTGATACAAAATGGACAAAATTCTGTTGGTTATAGCCCATTATTCATAGTCCATTGTTTGTGAATATTTGAAATATGCACTTTTCAAATATGTACTTGTCATTTTCCAGGCTAGGTTGGGGCAACCTTGAAATTATAAAGCAAATAATTCTGCGCAGAAAAATACTGCATTTATTAATGTTAATCGCGAAAAAATTAATATTAATAGTTCACAAAGTACATTTTTGTATGAATAAAACATGGCACTTGCTTTTACTACCAATTTTTAACCATATTCTCGCATCTGTATGAATGGAAACTAAGCAAACGCTTTTACTGAAAACCATTTTCTCTTGAGTAAATGCCTGCAAAATGTAAAGGTTTAGGCCTACAGGTTTATAAGTTTGCAGAAAATAAAATGATTGAACTGAATCGGAAAGAGGCAGGTGTGTGCGCAGCGCGTACATACTCGTTGCGCATTTCTAGCTTTGGGCACGTTGAGCTAGGTCACGTGCTGAAGGACAGATACATGTAGCTGTGTGACTTTATGTTAATTTTTTGCGCGTCCACAAGAGACCACGAAAATGGCGCACATTTATCGCACAGTGAATGGGGGCATATGCCCGCGCTGTCAATTTTGTCTTTTTATTCTGTATCAATGGTCGTAATACAGACTGCAACCGCGCCGCCGCACTTGCGTTGCGTTCCAGGATGAGCTATAGAATTAATTTTTTAAAATGTACTCAAATTTGTACTCCTGAGTACCGGAGTTGAGTACCGAGTCCAAATCAACGAGTCTGTGCCAAATTTTGAGTAAAAAGAATCGAGTACCGGCCGAGTCCAAATAATTTTCGAGTACTGATACAGTGATAGTCGAGTACTTGCGTGTACTCGAGTACGAGTACGAGAACGAAGACTTTGACACTGCTACCTGCACAGCAGACCTGTTTGTTCGCAAAACAAAAAGCCTTTTTATACAGAGGGTTGCAGACGTCCCCCAAAAGCGGGAAAAAATGATGATAATTTGTTAAAGCGCACAGGGAAGGTAACTTTAACTCGACCCTTTTAATCAGTATTGTAAAGGGCTTATTTTACATCCCTTTGTTGTTGCTCTGTAAAGCCGCCACCGGTGGAGCCCTCCGTTGGTGCATTGTTGGCATGGGCGTCGCCAGGATTTTTTCTAGAGGGGGGCAAAAAAACCATTTTGCCAAAAATGCTTGCATTTCTCAACATATTCTCGATTTATCAGTTTTAGAGGGGGGCAAGGACATGTTGCCCCCCCCCCCCAACTCATTAAATATACACCACTTTGTCTTCGCGCCTCTGTTTCTTTTCTTTTTTCTCTTTTTTTTCTTCTTCTTCTTGTTTTTTTTTTTTTTGTGGCTTTTCCAGGGGGGGGGGCACTTGCCCCCCCCCCTTGCCCCCTCCTCGCTACGCCCATGATTGTTGGCATTAGGTCGCAGGTACGCTGACCAAGTTCTTTTGTTGGGTAACAGCATGCGCTCTGGTAACTTTAACTCACGCGCTATGGAAATAGATTCTATAAATAAACTGCTTTTAAGTGGGTTTCTTTTGTTCTTGGACGCGGGAAAGGTTTGGCAAGATGCCGGGGCCATTACAACTTGTTAAATTAAGATAAATATGTGTTTATAAGCTGACAAATAAAAAATCACAAGCAACACAGAAAATTTTGTGTGTGCACGCTTCAGCCAGAAGGTTTTTATTCAAAAAATGTCGGGTACCGAAATCTGGGCAGCGGACCCATCATCCATGCAGCACATTATTATTATTATTAATATCCAAATTTCGGGCACCACAAAGGCCCAGAGCACCAACAGCTCATCCAAGCACCATTTGACTTGGAGACCATAGCTCTTCAGTTTTTTGGGCACCCACAAAGGCCCAAGGGCAGCTCCAAGCACCATTTGACTCGGAGCACCACAGCTCAATCATCAATGCAATAAATGACCCATTTACGATAGGCCGAACTGAAAATCTATTGAGAAAGTGCCAGTAAACTTTATATCACTACAAAGCTTATGATAAATTGTACATCTATGTACATACATTGTATGCCAAGTCCACAAAAGATTTTGATGCACCGTTCTTTCTTTGTTTGAACTTACAGAAGAAGGAACGGTTCATCCTCCCCTGTTGTACTGACTCAGGGGAAGACATGTTGACAGCAACAATAAAATACTAACTACTCATTAAATTACTTACATAATTGAGTAACTGTGTTTTACTATGCTTGTAAGCACAGCTGTAGTGAATTGCAGAGTGTTGCAGTTGTGCAAAAAGTGTCAGCTGGAATAAAAGTTGAGAATTCTTCTGGAGTTGGCAAATCCTGTCTGCGAGTTCCCTTTTTTCCCTTTTTTTTTTGCGTTTCGCTAGGTTAGGACAAAACCCAATGATATCACGCTACAGTATTCAAAACCCCAGTAAGGGGATCATGAAACCAGTGGAGGTGTTTTGATTTTGTGGTTTTTAAAATACTTTGACAAATTTGTTTTCTTTGTTTTAAGGAAATCCTTGTGTCCGGGAGTCTCCGGTTCCCTAAAGGCTGGACCTATGACGGCGTCGCTACCATCTTTGGAGCTCGTTTCCTGGGCCGAGGTCTGGTGACTGAGAGGAACCATGCACTATGGCTCAAGAGACGGGAAATATTCAACCCGGCCTTCAACCGTAGGTGAGTTCCGAGGTGTTACAAGTCAAAACTGGGGTTGCGACGCCTCGCAGCGCTTCGTGAAATCGGGTGCTGGGCTTGCGCCCAAAGTCACGATGCTAGTCACATGAGCAATTTGGCAAACATATAACAGGTAGTTATTTGGAATCGTTCAAAGGGGATCTGGGCCCAATTTCATAGAGCTGCTTAAGCACAAAATTTGCTTAAGCACACCAAAAAACTTGCTTATTATCAGGTTACTGGCCCAAACTCCATGCGATGTACATTGCTCGTGACTGGTATTTAGCTGTTGTTTACTTAGCATAACAATCGCATGGAGTTTTGGTGGGTAACCTGATTATTAAGCAAGGTTTTTTGGTGCTTAAAGGGAATATACATCATTGGCTTTTGCTGTAATTTTCAGAAATCAACTATTTCAGGGGTTAGTATAATAGATCAAATATGTGACCCGCTCCGCAAAAATGAGTCTGTTGTGGCAAAACTGACATTTTGAGTTAACTACATAAATAAAATGGGAATGAAATAAGCTTTCATTTGGTATATCACGGACCTCTCTAGGACATTTGGTTGCATTAATTGTGCTTGTTTCATTCTGTCAAGTTTTTGCAAAGCTAGAAGTGTCTCAATGGAGAAAAAAGGCTTTGAAAAATGACAAATACACTGTAACTAACCAAGAAAAGCACCAAAAATTCATATTTTTTTTCTTTTTCTTACAATATTTACATTTCTGTGTAAGATATTGGAACTAAAACTATCAAACAACCAAAATAAAACAAAAACAAAAAATCCAAATTTTGAGCAAATTTTTACTGTTTCCATTTTAAAATGGCAAAAGCTTGAATTCAAATTATGCGACATCAGACTCATTTTTGCAGAGCGGGTCACATATTGTTACACTGACATGTTTGAAGTTTTGTGTTCGAAAATGCTGGAAAAACCAAGAAAAACAAAACTGTTCAAGTAGTCTGGTTCCCTGACTCAACTAAATATAAAATGGATCAATTTACAGATGCCGGAAAATTGTAAGGGTAGGGGTACCAGTCTAGCTGGCCTGCACCCGTTCACGAACATGTAACCAATAGCAAACAAAATTTGGACTGAATTAATGGTTAATTTGGAGCAGTAGTTGAAAAATAGTTAGGTTTTTCCAACGGTGGTCAGCCGACCACCGCTGGACATTTTTACAAAAATACCATTTTCTTGAAAATGACTTCACACCAGTTGCCATAACTTTACAGGATGCTTTAGACTGTCATTTACCAACATCCTATTAAGGTATTTCGTAAAAACTTGGTAGTTTTATTTTTCGATGTTTGCAGATGTTGTATATTCCCTTTAAGCAAATTTCGTGCTTAAGCGGCTCTATGAAATTGGGCCTCAAGCTGAACAAAATTTCAAATTGAGTATTAAAAAACTTGGGCTGATTGCCAATCTGATACTTTTGTTTTCTTTTTGAGTACAGCTACCTGAAGACTTGTATCAATCAGTTCAATGCTAGCTCGGATTTACTGGTGGCCTACCTGAAGTCCAAGGCCGATGGCAAGACAGCTGTGGCACTTCTACATGAGCTGAACAAAGCTACCATAGATATCATAGCTAAGGTCAGAATGATAATATTATTATTGTTATTGTTATTATTATTCTACTGAATGCTATAGTAGGGTGACACACCTTATTGTGGCTACAGTTAACTGTCGCCCTTTGGTGAAAACGACTCTTAAGACAAGGAATTATATTTCAAATTAGGTTTTGCCCTTCACCGACGTTTGAACACTGTATACTCAGTGTGTTGCCTCCCGAGTGAAAGTTGGAAAAAAAAAAAAAGAAGTTTTTTCCAACTTTCACTCGGGAGGCAACACACTGAGTATACAGTGTTCAAACGTCGGTGAAGGGCAAAACCTAATTTGATTTATATCACCCCGACGCAAAATTCCATCTTATAATAGTTTATGCAGTACCCGCTGCTATGTACATCAGATTCGAACCAGCCAGCCGATCCCGTTAGCTCGGTGGTCGAGTGGTAAGACATCTGCACTAGAAAGCAGGAGGTCGTGGGTTCGAGTCACACCCGAGTGATTTTTTCCAACTTTCACTCGGGAGGCAACACACTGAGTATACAGTGTTCAAACGTCGGTGAAGGGCAAAACCTAATTTGATTTATATCACCCCGACGCAAAATTCCATCTTATAATAGTTTATGCAGTACCCGCTGCTATGTACATCAGATTCGAACCAGCCAGCCGATCCCGTTAGCTCGGTGGTCGAGTGGTAAGACATCTGCACTAGAAAGCAGGAGGTCGTGGGTTCGAGTCACACCCGAGTGATTTTTTCCAACTTTCACTCGGGAGGCAACACACTGAGTATACAGTGTTCAAACGTCGGTGAAGGGCAAAACCTAATTTGATTTATATCACCCCGACGCAAAATTCCATCTTATAATAGTTTATGCGGTACCCGCTGCTATGTACATCAGATTCGAACCAGCCAGCCGATCCCGTTAGCTCGGTGGTTGAGTGGTAAGACATCTGCACTAGAAAGCAGGAGGTCGTGGGTTCGAGTCCCACCCGAGTGATTTTTTCCAACTTTCACTCGGGAGGCAACACACTGAGTATACAGTGTTCAAACGTCGGTGAAGGGCAAAACCTAATTTGATTTATATCACCCCGACGCAAATTCCATCTTATAATAGGAATTATATTGTCGCAAATTTTGACATGCCTTTACTTCAACATCAGGCATGCAACTTTTCCTCGGATCAACTGATTTCCTCTTTTTTAACTTCCCAAGTGTACCATTAAAAACAGAAAAACACTGTACAAAGTCTGGGCAAAATTTGAATTTCCTCTTTTTTGTGACTTCCCAGTTGCATGCCTGCAACATGGACAATTTTAAAACCCTTTTGCCAATCAAACCAATACTTTCCAGGGATAAAATTAAGATTCCATGCTTTAAAATGATATAAAATAATTGTGGTACATGTTTATAGAGTCTCGCAAAAAAAATGTTGTGGGTATTTTGGGACGAGCTGTACTCCAGAGATTTATATGATGTTGAAGCAGTATTTACATCCTTTTCTTTCATTTGTTCACATTCTAGGTTGCTTTTGGTTCCGATTTCCACCAGTTTGATTCTGAGAAGGTCACCTCGTTTAATGAGGAATTCGATACGGCCCTGAACGGGATGAAAACACAGTTTGAGAAGCCGTGGCACAAGGTAAAAGTAGCAGCAGTTCATATTTCCATTTAAAATTTTTCTTGAAACTAAATTGAAAATTGGAGTTCTTGGCAATTCCATGGTGCGTGTAACTCGCGTTATGTTTAAAGGGAGGTCTTCTGTTTACCCTGTGCTCTTATCTGTGAAGTCACAGCAGTAAGTGTGGATTTTTCTCACAGAAGTTCCCTTGAAGTATTTTTGTGACTAAAATACCAAAAAAGAGGTCAACAAAATCAAGTTCTGTTGATTACTGCTTCTACATGTCACTTGGTGGTCGGTTGGTCGGTCTGTCCGTCTGTCTGTCTGTCCCTGAAAATTGACCAAAAATATTTTACCAAAAATTTACCAAATGCCATGCCGTCGTCAATAAATGTACCCTGGAAACGGGCTTTGTCTCGAGCGATATGCATGCGCTTCTCTTTTGCATATGTCTCTTTGGAAAATTGACCAGAAATGAGCCCCCTTAGTTTACCATAAAATACAATACCAAATGCAAATTTAAAAAAAATAGTAAACAAAAGACATTAAATACTAACAAAAATTGTTTGAAGCAATTCGTACAGTTGTTTGTGATTTTTGTAAATGGAGGCAAGACAATGTGCAGTAATGTTATAGTCACATGTTATAGTCACATTTTCGTGTGGGACGGCGGCGCTGGCCTGGGCTTGTACGCACAATCGTTGACTGCAAGACATACATGCAAGGCGGCCAGAGCTTATTGTGCCCTCGCACTTGATTTACCCGTAACTTACGTTACAACAAAATAACATGGCAAAAATTAAAATACCTTGCATTTTAAAATTTTCGCAAACTGTGCACTGTTGGAAGAATCTTTTCAGTGCCCTTCCACCAGCAGAGTGTAAGTTATGTCCGACCATTTCAGTGATTTAAAAAACAATCATGAAATCTCTAGAGGGGTATATTTCAGTAAATCCAGTTACGGCAACTCACGTCCCAGTTTGTCCGGCCATGTTTTGTACAAGTTAAAAAACATATAAGAAAGTAATATAAATCAAACATAGATTATAAACCTTTCTCTCTGTCTTAAAACAAACACTCACAATGGTTTATGGCTTATTTTTTCATATCATATCACAAAAACATAATGAACAAGAATCTACATAAAGAATGACAGAAATGATACGAGGGATCTAGGTAAAAAGCATATGTTTGTACAAGACCTGGCACCCGTAATTACCAATTCAGCTAATAAATCATATATGTACATACAGTATGGCTGAAATATATTAGGTGAATACATGTATACTAATTAAATTGAAAAGAAATTAAATTAGCACCAAATGTTCACGTTCGCATGAATATATATTCATATACATGTACATTGTCGTAAAAGTTGGTACATGTACCTTAATCCTGTCTTAAATTGTTCTTTAAAATGGGGCTTGCGGTACGGTCGCTGCCGAAGTTAATCGAGCGTGATGGGAGTAATAAATAACCGTCTGATATTTTCTACAGAAACACCCGGTGTAGGGGGTTTTGCATAGACATTTTTTGATACCAACTTTTACGACAATGTGTTAGTATTTATCGGCCAAGACCCAAGCCTGCATGCAGCCGTGGCATCCCTTCACTTTCTCAGTCAAATACGACCCATTTTTTCAACCGTAGTTTTATGCATTCTGCCCTCAGATGTAAGCCCAAAAATCAGGGAGTTGTTCCTTGGCTATTTTTACACAATTCCATCGTTTTTTAAGCCTAACGGTCACCTTTTTCAAACAAAGTTTTCGTGCAAATCAGCTCATATAGAAATTCTCACTGTGCACAATCAAACGCGAATTATTTGCGTCCCCTGTCGTTCTAATCGCGCCAGTCGGATGTCACTGTTATTATCACTGTTATAATGACGTTATCGGCACTCTTTGTGGGTCGAGCCATACAAGTTTTATTCTTGAATATTTAGTTACAAGTCCATCACAATCTTAAACCTGACAGGGGGGCGTCAAAGAAATGTCACTATCACATTTTACTTAAATAGCATTTGCTTGGATTTCAAACCATCATGTGCCAATTTTGCACATTACAGAGAAATATGTGACCTGCCGTATCATAACGAGGAATAACCCCCACCTTTGACTTTTCACGATGCCTCATATTAAAGCGCAAATCATTGGCTTTCCGATGATTCCAATTGTTTTTCTGTAGCTTAATTTATTCCTGTCAAACTTCGCCGACCTCATTTTAAGAAAAATGGCTTTAGAAAAAAAAATATGCATTGCACCACCAACGGCAGTAATAAAATTCATCAGTTTCTCCACTTTTTGAGTATTTTTTTCCATCAAAAAGGCATAATGCAAATCTTGAATACCTTGGCTACTCAAAAATACAAAAAAAAATGAAAAAAAAAAAAAAAATTATATGATTTTTCTAATACATCTGACTTTAGGCGTCGATTACTCAAAACAAGATTTTGGGGGCATTCCTCATTGTTAAATTTTATTTTTTATTTTTTTTATTAACTATTTCCATAAATGGTATAAAGACGTCTGACCGAATGACAAAAATGAAGACAACCAAGCCAAGAAAACACATTACACTAAGGTTTTTGATTTTACACCCCCCAACATCAAAAGCTAAATATGCCGCTGGACTCACCAATAACCACTGCATTGTATTCAAAACACAGCTCAACCCATCGAGATCAGCGCGGGAATACCGCAGCAAGGTTCGCAAGGCCATCGGCAAGTTGAGAGAGACCGGCAAAGTGATCATTGGGAAGCAGATGAGCGCTCTAGGACGAGGGGAGCAACTGAGTAACAACATCTTGTCCTTCATCCTTCAAGCCTGTCAGCTTTCCACCTCGGGAGGGCTGGATATGGAAGAGATGGTGGATGAATTCACCACCTTCTTTCTGGCTGGTGAGCTCCGGTGATGTTTTGTTATCCTAAGGGTGGGGGAAGGGGATGGGGGAAGGGGAGGGAGGTGGGGGTGGGGGAGGGTCTGCAAGCCTTGGCTTTGTCTACAGCTTAAGCATTGGGCTCTAGCTTAATGATAATGAAGACTATAGTTGTAATCAAGTCAATCACAAGTCATCATTAGTCAATTACAAGTCAATCACAAGTCAATCACAAGTCATCATTAGTCAATCACAAGTCATCATAAGTCATCATAAGTCACCACAGGTCATTGCAAGTAAATCACAAGTCATCATAGGTCCAGTTTTGTGGTACTCGTGCTCGGTACTTGTACATGTACTCAAGTACTTTTTTAGAGTACTCGTACTCGTACTCGAATGTCAAAGTGCTCGTACTCGAAATGACGTTACTCATACTCAGGCAGCAAAGTACTCATACTCGACATGTCAAAATTGTACTCGATCATTAAAGTACTCGTACTCGAATAGCAGTACTCGGGGGAAAATGGTGTAGCTTGACTATATACCACGGCCTTATTTTATCGATACTTTCAGTTTGAAATGGTTGATTGGCTTGCGGAGAATTCAAAGTATGGGAAACTCCTGTGGATTTGCACCAATTGAACACATAATGGGATAAACACTATGGGACACCATGGGAACACCATGGGACATTTTTGTGAGAATTGCTTCAATAACAAGTGTTGTAATTCCACATTTTTGATTTTTTTTCCTGTTGATGAGTGAAGTCAAATGAAGCATACAGTAATTTTTTTATGTGGAGAATGTGTCATTCAAAGAACTTTGGATAATATTGATTCATTTGTTATTATCGTTGGAAACATTTATGAGAAAATAAATTGGGTACACTGTGATAATATGGTACAACTTGACAAGTGGTATGGGAGCAATAATGTGGATTTTGGTCATAGAGTGCCTAATAAGCCACTCCCATTACGTGAAACATCCCCCATCGGAGTTCCGTGATGTGCTTTACCTAATCGGTGAATAGCACAAAACACACAGGGTTAAAAAGTATTAAGAAAGTTATTATTGAAAAATACTATGGAGCAATTTTGAATCTTTTGAGAAATGATAGGAAACCATACATGGGAAATAAACTCATGTAAAATTTCCCACTGGAAAAAGCCAATGGGAAAACTCCCATTGGAAAAATCCCATGCTACATGGTGTCCAATTCACCATGCAATTCCCATGGGGTCCCAATTTCCCATGGGAACTACATGGGAGATTTTTGTAAGGGTTTCCTGACTTTCCTATGCACATGTCCAGACCACTGATCTCTATATAAAGACTGGATAGCTAATAAAGAGCCGCACAATGTACGAATTTGACGCCATATTGGTGAGACCGGCTGGTGATCTACAAAGGACAAGTTGCCGTCTTTATAGACAGCTTGATTTCTTTTGTAACGTCGCGGCTCACTTGACTTATATTTTGGCCACCACCACTGACCAACTGACCAAGGTTTACTACAATTTTTCAAACGTAGTGGTTACTTTTATAATGCCGCAAATCACTTTTTCGGCGTTTTTGAAATAATAATCTCTACGGAAATGTGTTCCTTTTAGAACATCATAATATGTGTACGTGACCAAAATGCGCGTCAACTGTTGATACAACGCGCGCGTATTTACGCGTAGAACGTTCGTATTATACGCGGCCATCTTCGTGAGACCGGGGGCGAATTGGTCAATATGCAAAGTCTACTGTGTGAATTGTATGCATATCCGCTATCCAGTCTTTATATAGAGATCAGTGGTCCAGACAAACACAATTAACAGCTAGCCGTGAGTGGGTCTGTATATAGGTCTGACAGGGCCTGGGCTAATTACGCACGATGACCAATTTGCCATATGTGGGCACAATGGCCAATCATGCAATGACCTGTGATGACTTACACGTATGATGACTTGCAATGACCTGTGATGACCTGTGATGATGCCATTAGGGCTATGGATCTCTATTATGTACCAAATGAAACCTTACACTGTGTGGCTTCCAACCATGTATATAAATCAATTTCACTTGTTTGCGACATAATACCCTTTTTCGGAGCGGGTCACATGTGTGGTCAAATGCAGCTCATCAAGTCAAGTTATTTTGTCTGATTCACGGTGTCACCAGGAACATATATGATATTCTATTTGATGACCTTTTACTAGATCCCCTGTAACTCCGTCTCCTGTGACAATCATTGTATGAACGTGAGCACATGTTTTATTTTATCACTATCTCCAAAGAGCCCCAGTTGAGTTCATTAATTGGAAAAGAGCTAGCTCAAAAACTGCCCTCTGTCTTAACATGACCTTATTTGATAAAATCTTCCTTATCTTCTCTACTGTATCTTATGCCCCTAGGCAATGAGACAACTGCCAATCTCTTGGCCTCCGCCATGTTAGAACTTGGTCAGCATCCAGAGGTCATGTACAGGTAAGCTTCGCATTTTCAATTCGATTCACGTTGCAATTATTAATTGATAAGTCATTGTTTCATGCATTAAGGCTGGTACATACTCCATGGGAATGCGATGCAAATTTGACGTCACAAAGCGTTCACTGCAAAGTTTGCCGGAGTTGATTTGTGTTCAACTTTTGTGAATTTGCAGCGCGAAAACCCGCCCTGACGTCACAAATTCGCATTCGCGTTCACTTTCGCGCCAAGTACAAACCGGGCTTTAAATTAATATTTTATCTATTTGTGTGGCAGCACAAAAAAAGGAGTTATGGCTAGAGCATAATGTACGGGGTGAGTAAAAAAAACAAACAGAAAACCCAAATGGCGCCCCCAATTTTTTAATGAAGTTCTGCATGTAGTGCGTTCAAGATCTAGGATCTGAAAGCCCAATTACTAAGCTTTATTTAGTTAAATAATCGTTCATATCGCTTATATACTTTTCAAGTTATGGACTTTTGAATACATACACAATTTTATAATTTTGTCCACAAATCACAATAAAGGTAAGTGATATATTTCAGCAAGACGAAAATTCACATTTCAACATTTTAAAACTGCTTTTGTGTTCAAAATTCCATAACTCAAAAAGTACATGAGTGATCTGAATGATTCTTGTACTAAAAGAAAGCTTATTAATTGGGCTTTCATATCCTAGATATGGATATAAGCGCTACATGCAGAATCTCTTTACAAAATAGGGGGCGCCATTTGGGTTACCTTTTTTTTTACTCACCCTGTATATACATGTAATATACAGAGTTTGAAAAAAGAGAATTGTAAGACCTGAAGCAATATCACTTTAGCTGGGTTCCCGTTTCATCTGAACCTGAACTTTTGTATCATTTCAGAGATGAAACTTTTCCGATTTTAATCGGAAATCCGACTTTTAGAATTTTCCAAGGAAATTTCCGATTTTTTTACAGTGTGTCCCACAAAATTTGATTTTGTAACGATTTTTTTCACAAAATGTTATTTAATTTCAATCATATTTTCGAAGAAAAGTCGATGAAAAGTCGATGGAATGGGCACGTTAAAATCATCGCGAACGTAGTTTTAATCTCTTTCACCAGTGTTTCAACGGTAGAAACACAGGGCATAACACTGATCGGAGCCTTCTCCGGCTGGACGAAAGGTTAAACATTGACAGGTGACATGAAAAATCACTGTGTCGCACGTGCCTGGGAATATGCAATGGTACCAGCGTACGTACCGCACCATACCGTCCGCTAGCACACGGCCGGTCGGGAACGGGTAGCCTTGTGAACGATTCAGTGAATCATTGTTGTGCGATTTTCAGAGGTTTTCAGATTTAGTTGTACAAAATGCAATGCTTTAAAAATCGTGATGATTATCTCGAGGATAGCAAAGAGAGCATTTCACATAGCGAAACATTTCACTGACATTTGTTGGAAGAGGAAGACGATAATGCCTGATTTTTTCCCACGTGTGAATGCAAGTGAAGTAGTGGAGTTGTGTGGTTGAATCATGGACATGATTGAAGCACCATGAACGGTGCCCTTGTCTTTCGGACTTTTCCCTCGACTTTCTCAAGTAAGAAGTGAACTTCTTTATTGATGACTCCATTACTCTAACCGTAATTCAGGCATTTTATGCAATGAAAACACAGACCATTGTTTTTTTTTTATATTATAAAATTTTGTTTGAATCGAAAATAAGGCAGGAGTTGGTGTCCGGAAATTGGGCATGAAGTGTATTGTACATGCATGTAGCGCGGCCCAGATTTCGGACACGTATTTTGTGTGGCCTATTTTCCGATTTTTTTGCCATATGCCAGTTTCATCTCTGATCATTTGTAATTCTTCCCTCATATTTTTAAAATATTTTTCAATGACAGACTGAAGACAGAGGTAGATGCTGTTGTTTCAGATAAAGAATTCATCCCATATGAGGATCTGTCCAAGTTGGAATACATGGTGGCGGTAAGTAATCAGCAGTTTTTAGCGTAGCTTTTCCAGTACATTAGGTTTTTCCCCAACAACTTGATTTTTAAAGCCACCGGTACAGTCCATCATTTGCAGCTATCCAAAAAGTAACTGACGTTATTATTGTTGAAAAGCATATGTGGTTTAAAAATAGTAAGGGGACTAAACTCTCTGTGAAATTATTCTTTCTGGCATGCTGTCATTTTGAAGAAATCAATGAAAGAAGGTCTTTCCAACGATGCGTCTAAAGACGTGCAAGCGCGTTGACATCGCGTAGCTGCAATCAGCTCAGTGAGAACGTGTCTCAGATGCTGAATTCAGGCCCAATTCAAAACATGACTCAGCAACTTCTGATTTGAATTCAGATCCTAGAATCGGAATATACACCATTCACTGAGCTGAAACTTCATCGGGTTAGTTGTTCAGCTACCTTCTTTAGATTTTGAGCACGTTTGTTGCTTCTTACGAACAAAATGCACACATTAAAAATGATGGATTGTTCTTTTAAAAGAGACAAGTCATGTACGAAATTCAGAAGTTAAATGAGTTAAATTTCTTTTGGAGAATTTCAGTGGATGAAAACTGGGGGTTTCTTAACAATGTTCTCTTTTGTTTACAAAAGCTAGTCTTGGGTTGTGTCTCGTTGAAGTGTGAATGTTGTCCCTCCCTCCTCCCATGACAGGTCCTGAAGGAGACACTGCGTATTCACCCCCCAGCTGCCGGTACGGTCAGAACCTCCATAGCAGACACGGTGATAGACGGTATCAAGATACCCGCTGGCACTACACTGGGTGTAAGATACAAATCATGGTTTGAAGGTGGATTGGCTGTAGCAAGATTTTTATAGCATTCTCAGGCCTCACAGCGAAACCATTAAAACCTATATGAACCTATAAAGAAAGCTGCATTTCAATTTGGGAGCCTATTTTAATCTTAAAGTAACATGTATAACGTATGAAAACCTATATTTTTATTCTGGCATACACTTAAAGGTATAGTCCATCATTTGCAGCCATCCGAAAAGTAACTGGCGTAATTATTGTTGAAAAACAAACTTGGTTGAAAAATAGTAAGGGAACTAAACTCCCTGTGAAATTATTCTTTCTGGGAAGCTGTCATTTTGAAGTAATCAACGAAAGAAGGCATTTCCAACGGTGATTCTTAAGAAGCACCGTAGGAAAATTTAAATTAGTAGTTCGTTTTGTTATTCAGCGCAGCGCACACAAGTATTGGAACGACGCACACGCGCGCGCGGTTGTTATAATTCGTTGGATCAGTGCGCGACGTCGCGTATAGCTGCAATTCAAAACAATTCAAAACATGATTCAGTAACTTTGGATTTGAAATTGAGATCTTAGAATGCTGTTTTTCTCGGAATGTACAGCTGAAGCTTAGCTGAAACTTCATCAGGTTAGTTGCTCAGTATCCTTCATTAGATTTTGAACTCTTTTGTTGCTTCAAACGAACAAAATGCACAAATTACAAATGATGGACTGTAGCTTTAAACCATTTTTTAAAATCAATTTGATACACAGTTTAGTTATTGCAATGCCAAAATAACCATGTTGTCAATACAGTACACGTAGTTGTTAACGTGTGCGAATGTATTACTCAGTCACTTATGAACCAGATACATTGATAAGAAGTTGGGCAGTGTGCCAATTATACGGTGCCTCTCCTATAACACACTTCGCTACAGTATTTTAATTTAATTCTCCATTTTTCTTGAAGGTATCCTTTCATGCTGTGGGCCGAAGCGAGAGATACTGGAAGAATGCCCTGCAGTTTTCTCCGGACCGTTTCCTTCATGGGGATGAAAGGTAACCGGACTCATCAGATTGTCTATTCCAAGTAGAAGTTTTGTATAAAAAAAACAGGTTCATTTAATGATGAATCCTCTAAACTAAGTAGCCTTTAAGGGTACAGTCCATCATTTGCAATTTGTGCGTTCGTGTCAACGGTTGCGCGTGCAGTGGAATGGGAGGAATAGTATCGCAAGGTAAAATCTGGAAATTTTTTCGTCTCTCAAAATGGGAAAGTCCAGATTTTACCTAGTGATGTATTCATCCCATTTCACAATTTAAAGCCATTCAATATTTCTTTTATATAGCTGACATATAGATCTTTGTCATTTGATTTACAGTTAAAATGAACTTCTATTTCAATACAAAATTTGCGGGAAATGTATTTCTTTCTTCCAAATCACCCCTTCGCGATAATGTTTGAACCCAACTCTGTAGCTACTGGCTCTTGGGAACAAACGCGCAACGCTCAACGTGCACACCAGCATGCAGTTGCACACAAATACCACACCATGGAACAAGGATGATCCTAACTGTTGAATAGAAAATCCCACTCAGATCACCATGGGCGAATGGGACTTTTTGAGCCCCGGCGTGAATGGGAGCAATAATGAATGTCACATGATATGAGTTCCACCAATCATATGACAAGGATCTGTATGTCAGTTATATCACAATTGGCAACATCCACGGCACGGGGGTGTTTATGGCGATTGCAGAATGAGTCAAAAGACTTAACTTCAGAACTGATCAATGCATACTTGCAGCTGTCTTCTGTCAAAATTAAAACACTTCTCAGAAGCTGTTCTTTTAATTTAACTTTGATGAAATTGTTTTTATTCCCAAACCCCACTTGCAGTTCCACAGGTGCTTTCATGCCGTTTTCAATTGGCCCCAGGAACTGCATTGGCCAACAGTTTGCATTGGTGAGTTTTTGAGAAAAGTTTACTCCAGATGCTTAAGTAGTGTGTGTCAACAAAATATACGCATTATTCACTGACCCAGGTTATTTTGTTTGAATATTAAAAAACAAAAAAGATTAAAGGGAATGTACAACATTTGCTTTTGCTGCAATTTTCAGAAATAAATGGATTCGGAGGATTAGAATGTTATAGCAAATATTGTTAAACTGACCTGTTTCACGTTTTGGGCTTGTAGATGCTGGAAAAACCAAGAAATCCAATCATATGTTCTTGTAGTCTGGTTCCCTGACCTCACTTAAGATGAAATGGAGCAATTTGTAGACTTTGGGGAATTGTAAGGTCAGAGAATCAGTCTGGCAGGCTTATACCCCTTTACAGGTGTGTAATCAATTGCAAAGAAAATGAGGAATAACTAAATATGAAAAAAGTTTTTGAAAATTAGCCAGTTTTTTCCAACGCTGGTCGGCCGACCAGCGTTAGAAAAATACAATTTTTCTTGAAAATGTCAGCACATTGGGAGCCACGATTTTACAGGATGCTTTAGCTTGTCATTCCCTAACAATCCTGTAAGGTATTTCGTAATAATTTGATCATTTCGTTTTTTTGATGTTTGCAAATGTTGTATCTTCCCTTTAACTCCAAAAGGAGCCTCCATATATTTTGTTATTAAAGGCCATAAAAGTATGCAAATTGAGATTACATAATATTTTATTAGTTGTTAATTATAATTACCGGTATATTATGATTAACATTAGTACTGTTGTTGTGGCATTTGGCATTTCACAATCATCTGGTCCATAAACACCTGTTTTTGAAATTGAGTTTTGACAAGCACTAGTCAAAATGATCAGGTCAAACCTGAACTAACAATTACAGATAGCTTACATGCTTCACCGGAGAACATCCAAGTATCTATTCTCAGAAAACAGTACAGACTTACCACTAATATTGCACCTTGCTAAAAAGCCAGAAAACAAAAAGATTAACTCATATAACTCATTAAAAATTGCCCCAAAATTGGAATTATGGCTTCAAGAAAATGGAAATAGGCTAATTCAAAATTATGGCATGCATTTCCTGCAAAAAAAGTGGCATTCATTCAAAAGTACGTAAACATTTTTCCTAGGGCAAAAACTTACCAAATGAAACACTTTAATGTGAAAGTCTTTTTTCCATGTTTTGTGTCACTCGGATGCAGATCGAAGCTCGCGTGCTGTTGGCCAAACTCCTGCAGGCTTTCAACTTCAGTCTGGTTCCGGGACAGGACTTGGGATTCATTGTGGAAACCACCATGAAACCGAAGGACGGATGCCAGGTCTTGATAACACCAGTTGAGGGCGGTGTTCAACATCCAACCAGCAGCCAGTAATCACGGAAACACCAAATAGCTCTCATCATTGGACATCATGTGGGCAATAATATAAGATCGGATGGCTTCCAGGGAATATACAGGAATACATTGCATGAGCTGTAACAGTATAGCACTCGTCTGTGCTTTGTGCAATATTGTTATAGCGAGTGCAATATATTCTTGTATTCCCCCCCCCCAAAAAAAAAATCCAATATTATTATTTATATCAGGCTGACTTGATCCACAAGCAATAAATTTCATGACACTGTCTTTATTTCTCAAATTTCGTTGAATATTCTTCGCTTACCGAAACAAATTTCTCACCGCTCGAAGCTGCCATTCTGGTGGTTGACACTAACAGTGCGCATACACCCTGCTACACGCTGCGTCCACGTAGGACGGTACCACATGCTACGCTCAGTTGACTGGTTGACAAGTGTGAATTTCTACACTCTTGATTGAGCGGGAACCAGTGAAATTTGTTAGAAATGCCTGGATGAGGACAATATCAAAAATAATATTGTCCTCATCTGGGTACTTTTACCGACATAATATTGCAGTCATCTGGGTACTTTGTACGAAAACATACAATACGCTGATGTATTTGTACCACTTGAAGCCTGATATAATAATAACGAACATTGGTTTAAAAGGAATACCTAATTCATTTTTAATGTTACCTTGGTTTCCCTGTAACCATCTTTTGCCCAGTCTTTGTACTGCCATTCCTTTGGGCCTTTTAGAACTCTTATTTCCATATTCCTGACCAAAGAAATGATGCCATCTAAGACAGAAGCAAAATGATTGCCATTTTTGTGTCTCTGGTAAAATATTTTATCCGTGTGTGCTCAGGCAACAGCACCCTCAGGTATAAAAAATCATGAACATTGAACAGTTTTAAATTAGCAATTTTAGATAAACTTTTGTGTGGCATTCACATTTCCACGTTTCTGTCACCTTTAGGACAATAAAATTCTATGAATTTTCCCACGACCAAATTATGAAAATCCATGACCTAGTTCATCAAAATGCAGATCAAAAGTGCAAAACTTGTTCTGTGAAAAGTGCTCAGCAGAAACAACAAAACAGTGCACTTGTCTTTCAAAATCTCTCACATTTAGTCGGGAATAAATTATACATTATGAGTGTACACAGTTTAAAATATCAAATAAATTAGTCCTCACAAAATTCCTTAATTTTCATGACTTCTGTCATTTTTGACAAATGTCCATGACTTTTCCAGACTATAGGAAATTGAAAATAAAATTCCATTCCATTTTTTTGCAGAATGCGGGAATGCAGGTTCACAAATATGTTTAGAAAGAAACAAACCTCAAAACCAAAGATAGAATTTTTTCCAACTTGAAAGGTCACCAAAAAACAATTTAAAAAACCCGTACTATTGGAGATTGTATTAATTTTGTTAGCTTAACTTGTGTAGTTTGTTTTTTATTTCTTAAAAGATTTGATTTATACAGTTTGAAAGTGCAACAGGGTATACTTTTAGCTTTACTAAAATAGTTTCACCTTTATTTTAATTTAATTTCTTGAGTGTATACTTGTAGGATTTGTTAATGCTTTGAGTGGTTTGATTTATACAGTGTGAGAGTCTAACAGGGTATCAAAGCTGGAGCCGCGTCGGAATGACATGTCTTTGGGAAGCGGCTGCGGCTTCTTCCATAGGCGCATGTGTTAGTTCCAGCCGTAGCCATAGTCATGTGGATGCGGCCCTGTAGTCTGAATCACAGTAGCCTTTAGTCAAGTCCCACGCGCTTACCCGGACACGTGACGCACCCCGGATGCTGACAGGTAAAAAGACTAGCACAGGCGGCAAAGCCGCGAGGGCCTTTACCATCTTGTGGAGAACGCTTATGTTTTTCTTTACATTTGTCTACCGATTTGGTAGACATGCATAATGCATTACCGTTGTGAATTGACCAATGAAAATGCAGAATTACTAACGTAAATCAGCCGTCGTCTGGCGCCAGACAGCCACGGCGCGCGTGCTGTTGCTGGTAACCGCCAACCACCGTTAGATGATTGGTTTATATTGCTTGATTTATATTACGTGAATAAATGAATAAGTGATTAGTTCCACGAGATAGTAAAGGCCCTCGCGGCTTCGCCGCTCGTGCTAGTCTTTTTACGTGCCAGCCTCCGGGGTGCGTTACGTGTCCAGATGGTCCGGGTATAGGCGCGTGGGACTTGACTAAAGGCTAGAATCACAGTTGTAGTAGAGTCATCGTAAGTTAAGGAAATGTACCCCTTCAACGGCCAGAAAAGGAGAGTTGGGGAGACCTAGACTGGTTCCCACTCCATCCACTGCATATTTCGAATGATCCAAAGTTATTGGGGGCGGTAATTAATCTGGGAGGCAATCACAAGATAAATTTGAACGTATTCGCCTGCCGCTGTCGCCTGACGTTCACGCAAAGACGATGTGGTTAGTAGTTTTGGCTCATTCAGGAAGTCGTGCGCACTTCACGTGCGAACAGTACAGTACGCACACGCTGTGTGTCCTGTCCACGGGCTCTCAAAGGTGGTAAAAATGCGCCCTCTTTTGTTGGCGCATGGAGCCCATACATAGCTTACATAACCATTCAAATGAACTATGTCAACCGCCTTCCTTTGTCATTGCTCCAGTTTACATAATTGTGACCTAAATCTGTGATTTGACACGTGACTAACTTGTGATTTACTACAGCTGAACTAGTCTGAATATTATTGGAGCCAAACCAGTTGTTTTAATTTTGTCAATGCATTTAAAGGCAACATACAACATTTGCAAACATCAAAAAACAAAACTACCAAATTTTTACGAAATACCTTAACAGGATGTTGGTAAATTACTATCTAAGGCATCCTGTCAAATGATGGCACCTGGTGTGAAGTCATTTTCAAGAAAAGTGATATTTTATAAAACTTTTTTTCAACTACTCCAAATTTACCATTTTCAGTCCAAATAGTGTGTTTGCTATTGGTTACATGTTCAGGAACGGGTGCAGGCCAGCTAAGCTGGTTCCCTTACCTTACAATTTTCCTGCATTGATCCATTTCATCTTTAGTAGAGTCAGGGAACCAGACTGCTTGAAAATTTTTGTTTTTATTGGTTTTTCCAGCTTTTCGAACACAAAACTCAAAACATGTCAGTGTAACAATATTTGATCTATTATACTAACCCCTCAAATAGTTCATTTCTGTAAATTACAGCAAAACCCAAAGATGTACATTCACTTTAAAGCACATTATACATGTATTGTTCTTGTAATTTCACTGCTACATTTATTTTTGTTTTAAAATTCTATTTTAGCACTGTAGAAATCGAGTTTGTAAAGTTCACTTGACCACGCTACAGGTAGGGTATAATACACTATTTGTGTTTTTTTAGTATATATAATACAATTCGTTTTTAAGTATATATTATAACAAGAACATTTTAAAGGCAGTGCACAGATTTTTTGTTAATGAAATTGCACCAATTAATATCTTTAGTATTGTGTGGATCATGTCTTTCAAACTGTGACCCACACAAAGTGTATTCAAATAGCACCTTTACCTCATGAAAATCTTTTATAGAATTTATATTATATATTCTAGCTAGAATTTTATTGCACAATGTATAAAATTATATGGAGCTTGGACAACTAGAGGTGTCAATTTATACCAAATTATTGGACAATTCTTTGTAATTTATGCAGTTTTATGCAGATGCAGTTGATAAAGCACACTGTTTTGCAACTAGGCGATTGTGGGATTATTGGACATTAATTGGAAATTATAATCTATTACATATTATGAAGGATAGATGGTGGAAACTCTACTCTTATTGTTTTTTTCTAATGAAGAGTTTGCTCTTGGTCCCAGAACTTTTTAAAGATTCATCTTGTTGGACTCAAACCCATGTAAAATTACGACCGTTTTGAATTTTGAATTGGATTTAAACTGAATCCTTTATTAACTGGTCAAGAGCATTCTTTTTTTCACATTTGGAAATGGGGCATTCTATAAATCTAGGGTGCTGAGTGTGCTTGCTGCCCCTGCTACCCCGTAACTTTGTATTCATTACAATCAACTTCAAGCTACATGTATTTTTATTTGTTAGATTGTTAGTTTGTTTAACAATCATGTCAGATGTAACTGAGACAGGAAGAAAGTGGATCATAAATTTATAAAATGACCCAAATACATATCGTTCTATCATTGGACCCATTCTTCTCTTCAAAATACCCTTTTCCCCTGGTGTATTAAAAACTGTAGAAGGAGGAACCACAGAAATCTCTGTCTTGTGATGGTTAATTGAATGACGTCATAGTGCTACATTCTCGGCAACGCGTGATTCGACGAGACTTAAAAAAAAAAAAAGCCGTCAACTTGTGCACCGTGCGCGCGGCTTCTCCGGTTTTTGAGGATAATTTGCTTTTTCATGCATTTTGCTCGTTTTCAATTATAACACCACTCAAAATCCAAAAGATGAATCGTGGTTCACAACCTAAAAACCTGTTAAAGTTTAAGCTTGGTGGATATTACCCTTTTCGAGAAAACAGTGAAAAACCATGCACAACCTTTTAATCACGACGCTCGATGTTGTCCATATTGCACTTTCATTTTCAAAAATCAATCAATGTAGACTGATCATTGGAAATTAAATCAACTACGTCGTCCAAGACCGGCGGTTTGAATTTCATTCCCTACAGCCGAACCCTGACAAGCTTGGCATTGCACGGGTGAAGCACATCCAAACTCCATTTCGCACATCGAGTGGCCTTTTGATTCAGGATTATCTCTCCATAGACCCTGTGACGTCATCGTTGCGAAATCGGCTCCTTTTGGATAGTTATTTGGCTGGCTGCGTTGGACATCCCAGTTACGGTAGCCCATCCCTGCCACGTCATCCTCCGCGCATATCCACGTCCCCTCATCGGCTTTGTCGGTGCAGTCGATCCAAAAGTCCGGTTCAGTTTGGCAACAAGGTGTTCCATGATTTGGTTCTGCTCGTCTGAGCTTGGGACTGCCATGCGAGCGTCGTAGCTACCACACAGTGGATGGACATCTCTCATAGCACAGTGTTGGATGCAATCAATCATCACAATCAAAGTTGGTGAAAATTTTTAAAAGCACCATCGCATTATGGCTTACACGGCGGATCCCCTTCTTAACGGGACCCTTTAACACATTCCAACGCCATTTGTAGACAGATTTGCTTTTCAAAAGAAAATATGGACGAAAATATGGGGTAAAATCAGTCCAAACTGTTAATTTATTTCTCACAAAATCGATTGTTTATGCCCAAATCTTCCAAACATTGGGTGTTTTGAGTATTGATTGGTGCTCCTCTGACTTCGAAAGGATGTTCTGCATTGTTTGGAGAAAAGTCAATTTTTGGCCATATTTTGATTAAAATGTAAGGCATTTCTGTTCAATTTTGACCAAAAAACGAAATTCCTTGTAACTTGCCAGGAAGATGCCAGAGGGACCCTAGAACAAAGTTGTAGAAAGATTTGCTTTTCAAAAAAAAACATGGACAAAAATATGAGGTAAAATCAGCCAAAAATGTTAATTTATTTTTCACAAAATGGATGGTTTTTGCCCAAATCTTCCAAATATTGGGTGTTTGAGTATTGATTGGTGTTCCTCTGACTTCGAAAGGATGTTCAGCATTGTTTGGAGAAAAGTCAATTTTTGTCCAAATTTCAATAAAAAAGTAAGGTTAACCCCTTGCATTTTTTTCAATTTTCAGCAAAAAAACGAAATTTCTTGTAAGTTGCTAGAACGATGCCCAAGGAACCCTAGAACACATTGCAACTCCATTTCTAGAAAGATTTCCTTTTCCAAAGAAAATATGGACGAAAATATGGTGTAAAATCAGTCAAAAATGTTAATTCATTTTTCACAAAATCGATGGAATTTGCCCAAATCTTCCAAATATTGGGTGCTTGAGTACTGATTGTTGCTCCTCTGACTTCGAAAGGATGTTCTGCAAAGTTTGGAGAAAAGTCAATTTTTGGCCAAATTTGAAAAAAAAGTAAGGCTAACCCCTTGCATTTTTTTCAATTTTCACCAAAAAACGAAATTTCTTGTAACTTGCTAGAAAGATGCCTTACGGACCCTAGAACACATTCCAACTCCATTTGTAGAAAGATTTGCTTTTCCAAAAAAATATGGACGAAAATATGGGGTAAAATCATTCAAAAATGTTTATTTATTTTTCACAAAATCGATGGTTTTTGCCCAAATTTTCCAAATATTGGGTATTTGAGTATTGATTGGTGCTCCTCTGACTTCAAAAGGATGTTCTGCAAAGTTTGGAGAAAAGTCAACTTTTGGCCAAATTTGATAAAAAAGTAAGGCTTACCCCTTGCATTTTTTTTCAATTTTCAGCAAAAAACGAAATTTCTTGTAAGTTGCTAGAAAGATGCCCAAGGGACCCTAGAACACATTCCAACTCCATTTGCAGAAAGATTTGCTTTTCCAAAGAAAATATGGACGAAATCATAGTGTAAAATCAGTCAAAAATGTTAATTTATTTTTCACAAAATCGATGGA